GAGTGGGTGACGAGTCTGCCAAACACAGCCCGAAATGTCGAAATGTCAGACAATAAAATCACTAGATGCTGTAGGGAAATTCCGTCGAAAGTGATCGCATTCTATGTGAGAATCGCCACTGACTCATATATCTTGTATGTTTTTATTTTTAGAATTTCAAGTACATAGCGCAAAACATAAAACTTATTAATTAACACTCGGTTGGAATCTTTAAGGAACATCTTTAAGCAATCGCAAGCAGTTTTCAAGTTGCTTTGTTTTGGGAACGAGTATTTCTGCGGCTTTTACCACTTTTTCGCCCGTCCAAGCATTTTTGTTTCTCTTTTGTGATTAATGGGTGCGTTACCATTGGGATTTAGTGCGCGACTGACTTCGGCTAATACCATCCCCCCGTCCAAACCCCCTCCGAAATCTCCACTATCCCCACCCATGAAGCTGAAGCATCTCTCATGCTTTTTCAATTACACTCCAATGTTTGAATTTTGCGCCACATTTTAATGCCGAAACCATAAAAGTGCTCATGTGTGTGCAGAAATAAAAATGTAAGAAATTGGCTAAAATAAAAGGCTTGGTTGGAAGACTGAAATAATGCTCGTTAGCAGCAGCAGCTACTGAACTATAAAGCGCATGGAGAGCCGCAACCAAAAAAAAGAAAAAAAAACAAAAAGCGGGGCTACAAAAAATCTGAAATTAGTTTCGAATTTCGAAAAACTCACTTTGCCATGGCGGAATGTCTTAGTCACGCCACCTGCTGCAATCCACTTGGATTTCAGGTAGGTAAGTAGGGAGGATGGTGAGGAAGGTACTAAGCGCACTCCAAATCTATTTGGTAAACATTGGACGAAGCGTGTGGAATTAAAGCCAAACTCGATAATTGTGCCGAGACTTTGGGGGCAGAGATTGTCAAGGTCGTCTGTCTTACACGAGTTAGTCAGGTAATTGTGATCAAAAGTAATTATTATTAATGAACCACTAATTACTCATTCTCAGAATTTGCTTATTTTTATTATAGGCAAAATATCGATTATCAATATACATAATTATGTGGAATTAATTTTGATTTAATATGCGGCATGTCAATTCGATATGTAAACATGTAACTTTAAGCGTTTTTAAGCTATCTATTTTAAATTGGGAGTATTATTTCTTCTTGCTCCCACTAACATAATTTAAGTCGACTTTTACAAAAATTAGCAATGTAAATGTATTATTTTGTTTAGTTTTCTTGATTTAAATTTATAAGTACAACGTGTCTTTTTTTTATTACCCAGCAAAATTAAAGAGACCCAGTATGGCTTCGGCCTCCAAGTATATATCATAATGCTGGCTTATCGGAAACTACACATTGAACACATTTAGAGTGGCCCCATGCATAGACGGGAAATGAGGCAAAGGGGCGATGAACAAAGCGAAGAAGGAAAATATACGGAGGGCAGGGGATACGACTCCATTCCCATTCCCTGCGAGTAATATGAGACATTGCTAAGGGCACACATGAAACAAAATAATCAAAACCTTCGGCGGATAAACGCTTGAGTGCAGGTCAAAAAAGGAAGAAGGACCCCGCAGCCCCTGATGTCCTCGGCAAACACTTTACGGAGTCTACTCGAGTTGTATCTCATGGATGCGAAACCCCAGTGCTGACTCATTTTCCTTGAGTGCCGAACAGGTTGGCCGACTCACACATCCGCACCCGCACCCCTGCAACCCCGCACTACAGCACAGATACAAATGCAAATGCCCACACAACTGCGCAAACATTGCGAAAAACATCTACTGGGGGTACGGAAACAAATACGCCCAAGCGGAATGAAATGCCCTGAAATTGCATGGAAATTAACAAAACAAAATGCAATAAAATAAAACTAAAAGGTAGGGCTAATGTCGGGGATTCGCTAAGGCGATACCTAGTTTAATTCAACAATTGAGAGCAGAAAACTGCTATTTCGGATCTGATACTTGGCTATAAATAAAACCAAAACGAATGGTAAAATACTTTTTGTGATTTATTTCACAAAATGGATACTTAAAGAACGTGAAAGGCTACAAAAAATATTTATTCATACTTTACAGTTATATTTTATGTTATACAAATATAAAGCTAAGTTTTATTCAAGACTAAATAAAACGAATGAACATGTTCTCAAAGCAATTGCCCAATGCAATTCAAGGTTGAAATTTAATTGATGAGAATTTGCATTCAATTGCTCGCACACTCAGCATTGTTGTCAAAACTCCAAGTTCGAACATACTCTTGTGGAACCCCTGAAAAAATGCTGGGTAATTGCACAACTTAAAGGCGAACTAAGAAACACAAGACGACAAAATTTACTTTAGACCAAGCTCAAGCTCAAGTCGGAGCTCCAACTGCGGTGCTCGAGTATACAACTCGATGCAATCGGCCAGCGAATTCGAACGAAAGGTACTTGAAAAAGTGCATGCGGGTTCATTTCCTGTTTGCTCTTGCCATTTCAGCTACACGGTTAAAAACTTAATATTTTTGAATAGTTTTTTAGTTACACTAAAGTATAAATTCAAATTTATAATGCAAGACTATATAAGAATTGTTGTAAGATATTTAAAAAGTATGTTTATTTAATTTTAGACTTTAGTTAAAATAATATGTATAAGATTCATATTCCTTAGGTGTTTCTATAATTTCCAGATGAAGGATGCTTCAAATATCCGTTCTAAAGAAGAAATATTCTTAGAGCCGTTTTCCAATCGTGATATTAAATTTAGAGTAAGTTTTAAACCTTGTAAAAGTATAGAAATTCAGTGTTTAAGGCGTACCCTAAATGTAAACATAAATTGAACATCAAAATATATGAAATAAATTAGTTTTTTTATTCAAAATTTTGGGGATTTAAATGGTAATACAATTTTGTTCATTTTTTGAAAATTGGCTTTATACTAGGCTCAAAATAATAATAATATTTTTCTGTGTATCTTAGAGAGGCTTCTTGCCATTTTGCGATGTCAGCTGAACTCGACGACAAACATGCTCAAGCAGAGGCGATTTCCCCCCATTTTTTACCCCCCAACTGTGCAGACTTAAAGGTTTTTATATTTTTGTTGTTGTTTTTCAATGCTTTTTCCTGGTGCTGCTGCTTTGTTTTTGCAACTAACTTTTGCCTTCTTTTCTGCACTTTGGCCGCTTGGTCGCTCTCTAATTTGCCTACAGCGTTTAACGATCATCGCATATTAGGTTTTTTGGCTTTACGTCAGTGCAAATTATATCCACGTAGGTTACGATTTTTGACACTTTTCCAGCGCCTCGTGTAACGGTATTCAAAGCCATAGTTTTATTTATCTTTTGACTACAGTTATTAATGATTGGTTTTGGCCAGAGCTGCGGGCCAGGAAAGTGTTTATCGTCGTATCGATTACACTATGCAGCATCAAAAATTAACCTCGATGAATGCTATATTTTTGGATTCGTTACGAATTCCCAAGTTAAACTGCGTTTTCCAAAAGTTTCCCCGACGCAAGGATTCTTAGCAAAAGGACCTCAAAGTTCGAAAAATGCTGAAATTGGCCAACTTTGCGGAGCTCTCAGAGGCAAATGGATGCATGGCTTGGTTCGAAGTTAAAGTTTTTTAAAAGATACACCCTTTATCTTTCAAACCCCATACATAAAATAATTTTAGGATTTTTTTTAAGGCAGAAATAAATTCCAAAAAACATAGTCAAAAAACTGAAAAACATACAGCTGCGGTCAAAATAGTAGCAGTGTCGCCGCCTTGTGTTTTTAAAAGTTTGATGTTGTAATTTTTTCTTATCCAATTAGTCTAATAGTAAAATTATAATCAATACAATATTACCAGGAAAAGATCAATTACAACAACAAACTTTTAAATACACAGGGCGGCAACACTACTACCATTTTGACCGCAGCTGTATACTTTTATGTTTTTTGACTATGTTTTCTAGAATTTGTTTCTGCCTTAAAAAAAATCTTAAAAATTTTTTAAGTATGGGGTTTAAAAGATAAAGGGTGTATCTTTTAAAAAACTTTAACATCGAATCAAACCATGCATCCATTTGCCTCTGAGAGCTCCGCAAAGTTGGCCAATTTCAGCATTTTTCGAACTTTGAGGTCCTTTTGCTAAGAATCCTTGCGTCGGGGAAACTTTTGGAAAACGCAGTTTAACTTGGGAATTCGTAACGAATCCAAAAATATAGCATCCATCGAGGTAAATTTAAAAAGCACTAAAAATGCTGCACAGTGTTATCAATTACATATACACAATTTTTCGGCTTTTTTGCAGTCGTTTTTGATTAATTGACCGTTAGCAAGTTGTCATTTTGATTGCGTTTTAATGCGGCGTTGAACTTTCAATTATTAGGTAAACCAAATTGCCCGAAATGTCGCAGAGGCGGTGAGGTAATAGTCCTCGGGCTAGACAACATTGGAAAACAATTTTTGAAATAAAGCCAACACTGAATTAAAATTATAAAATATTTCCCACGTTCCGAAGAACTTGTTTACAGAATGAATAATGAAAGTGTTAATTTCGCCTTTGTAGTCCAACTGGTTCTGGGGATATTTTTGCACAATCAATGAATTTGATTACTTTAATTGATTTTAGAACCACAACAAAATCCAGCTCAAACTGAATAACTATTTTTTAGGTCATAAATATTTATTACTGCAAACTTTGCAACTTATTGGATACGACAATACCTTTATTGATTTAAAAATTAAATTTAAAAGATGTTTTAAAATTTAAATTGTGACAAAAAAGGTTGGTTTTCGGAATAGAGTACCAATCTACATATATTTGTAAGATTTCCTTTTTGAAACCTTTAAAATACCTGGATTTAAAATCAAAACTATTTGGTTCGTACTTTAATAAATTGGATAAAACAAAATATTATTCATACGAGTCGTTTTAATTTATATATAGCAACAGGTTTTAGCCATTTGTATTAAGAGAAGAGATCCCTAATTTCCTCATGACCCACCCTATGAGATCACCAAGAACGTCCCAACTCACCTTTTGGAATTGCTCGTGCGATCTCTGCCGGAGTTTGGAGGTGCTTCGTACAGCATTCAAATTGGACCAATTGGGGCAGAGTTACCAACTGGCGTGCTGATCTCGTTAGAATCTAAGCTCGTTTCTTTCCGTGTTTTTCGGGTTTTCAGATGGGAGGCGGACTGAGACGCTGGCAGGCACTTGGTATCGGTATGGGTATGGGTACGGGTTCAGTTATAGATATAGGTACTAGGCAGGGGTACTTGTTGCTCGCTCGGACCCCAAGCCCGGCCAGAAAATGGAAACGCGATTAGAGGCGAGCGAAAAGGGTACGGGTACACAAAAAAGATGCAGAGCCAGCAGCACGAAATAAAAAACGAAAACAATGCCAGAAAAAATCAACATGCACACACTGACACCAAGAATATGTATCTTAAAACTGGTTTAAGATTTGTCGGGGATTTGTTGGCTCGGCCGCATCGAGTGTGTGTCTATGGGAGCGCTGTTTGTACTTTCCAATAGCAAATCCAACTTCTTGTCAAACTCTTTCAAAACACACACGGATATTGTTTCCACACAGAATCTTATTCGGAAACAACTGTTGCGCCTCTGCGGGAGGCGAGAGCCCGAAAAATGAAGCAGAGCACTGGCAACGTTATTACTTTTTTAATATTTTTATGTTGTACAAAACACCGGCACAGAACCCGCTCGCTGTTTCAAAAACATTCAATTCCAAACACCGACCACGCAGCGAACACACGAACCTCCCGCGACGACCTCCGTTTTGTTTTGTCGGACTCTCTGACGGAGAGCCTCTATTCAGTTTTGATTACACTACGTTACGTGTTACTACGTTACGTGTAGCGTGAAACGACCCCGAATGCTGTCTGGAGATGGTAGGATAGTAGCGAATAGGGATGAGATCGTGAGGGGACTTGGTGCGCGTAACGGTCATGCAGAACGCACGAGCTCTGTACTCGGGCGATATGGAGGGGTTAAAACCACTTTAACACAATCAGGGGATTCCCTAAACTGTTGAATTGTTGAAAATTCAACAAAAATTTTCGGCCATTAAGGGAACGACCCAAAATGGTTCCTGTTGAATTATCAAACAGCTGTTATTTGTTAAAAAGTTTCACGGAACTTAAAACAAGTAAAAAGAACCACAAATATGCTTACTAAGTTGATTTTAAAATATATAATGCGTACTGGTGATACAAAAATGTTACAGAAAAAGGTGACAACTCTGGCTTTTCAGCAATTCAACAAAATTTTCAACAGCCTCAAGGCTGTTGAATTGCTGAGATTTCTGAGAGTTGACTTTGTATGGAACAGCTGATTAACAGCTGACCAAAATGCAACAATTCAGCAATTCAACAGTTTAGGAAATACCCTGAAAGTGATTCTGTCCGTTTTTACTAAAATTTTCACTCAGTTTTAAAACTATCGAGATGAAACTTGCCAACATTTTTTTTTCTATTGCAGGCTTGTATACGTCGGAATTGGATCGGCGATAACCTAAGCTCCTAAAGGATCGATCGGAAAACTAATAGAAACAAAATTCTAGCTTCGCTGTCTCTCGACTTTTGGATTTGGCATATTTCATTTCAGAACTAAAAAAATATTTTTTAAAGAATCGGAACCTAAGAACAATCGGACAAAGAATACGTCAAAATAATAGGACAATTTTAACCATGTTCTCTTCTTCTTCTGGAAGGATATATAAAGTTCAGGTTGTCGAAGCTAGCTTCCTTTCTTGTTTTATAAAAACGTCCATATTTCATATTATGTATGTACTTTTATTTGAATTTCAATTTTTATATTCTTATAATTACAATACCGCTATGTTCCACGATAAGTAGAATAGCCAAAGGGATTAAGTAACAAAGGAATATGATAGTGCTGATTCTCACAGCAGTCCACAATTATGTCGATTGCTGGATAAAGAGTCCTCACATTGCGCTCTGCGAAATAGCCACCAACGTGAAAGGTCAGCTTGTAGATTCCGCTGGGAAATTGACCCGGCTCCAAAAGCAGGCAACGACCATCCGCATCAGTTTGGGCCGCCCGAAGTGATCTCCACTCCTGAATCTCGTCCAGTCTGGAAACTGTTACTCTGACATTGGCAGCAGCTTTCCCCTCTGAGGTGTCCTTTCAAAATAATAGCCAAATGTTATTTTAAATGATGAATTAATTATACACAAGGAATAATTTACCAGTATGTGCGTAGAAAATTTGCGTGCTTCCATTCTGATGGCAATTGTTAGTCTGAAGATCGTAGGAATCTTTGCAGATAAGTAAACCTCCAGTGAATATTACGCCTTATCTAAATCTCTGATTGCATTTTGCATTAAGGTGGGAATGATAAAGATAAGCGGGATAAAAAATGATAAGGGCGTAAATCAATGGAGCAACACAGCAAATCTTGCACAAATATATTTTTTTATTTTAAAATATAGTATTTTAGGCTCGTGAGTTTTGGTATATTTTTCCTGAACTACTAAATAAAAACCCACGGTCACACTATCTACCTCGTTTAAACTGAACTGCACGTGTTGACTATTTCGTTTGGTGGCCAAACTCTGTTTAACATTTTCCCATAATGGCTGAGGAAGGACCACCGGAGGCGAGCATCGACTTTGTTCCAGCCCTGTGCTTCGTGCCACGCGGCGTGGCCAAGGATCGCCCCGACAAGATCGTGCTGACGCAGGCGGAGCTGGCGAGGATTATCGGCGATACGCAGCAGGAGTTGGACGAGGAAAGCGACGACGGGGAGGAGGAGGGCGAAGAGGCGGCGGAGGATGGCGACGACATGGACGTGGACGATGCCAACAGTGAGAACCGCAATCCCCAGGACGAGTTCCAGTTCCAGGACTACGACAACGAGGAGAACGCCAATGTCACCAGTCTGGCCAACATTGTCCAGCCCGACGAGCAGATTCCCGACGAAGACGAGGACTCCGAGGCCGAGGACGAGGTGATCAAGCCCGGCGACAACCTGATCCTGGTGGGCCATGTCCAGGATGACGCCGCCTCCATGGAGGTGTGGGTGTTCAACCAGGAGGAGGAGGCCCTCTACACGCACCACGACTTCCTGCTGCCCAGCTTCCCGCTCTGCATCGAGTGGATGAACCACGACGCGGGCAGCGAGAAGGCGGGCAACATGTGCGCCATCGGCTGCATGGATCCGATCATCACCATCTGGGACCTGGACATCCAGGACTCCATAGAGCCCACCTTCAAGCTGGGCTCCAAGGGCAGCCGCAAGCAGAACAAGGAGCAGTACGGGCACAAGGACGCCGTGCTGGATCTTTCGTGGAACACCAACTTCGAGCACATTCTGGCCAGCGGCTCTGTGGACCAAACGGTGATTCTGTGGGACATGGACGAGGGTCAACCGCATACCACCATCACCGCCTTTGGCGAGAAGGTTCAGTCGCTGGAGTTCCACCCCCAGGAGGCCCAGAGCATTCTGACCGGCTGTGCCGATGGCTACGTTCGACTCTTCGATTGCCGGGACGCCGATGCTGTGAACTCGTCGAGCGTCGAGTGGAAGGTTGCCGGCGAGGTGGAGAAGGTCCTGTGGCATCCCACCCAGAGCGACTACTTCATTGTCGGCACCAACGATGGTAGCCTGCACTACGCCGACAAGCGATCGCCAGGCCAGGTGCTTTGGTCGGTGAAGGCCCACAACGAGGAAATCTCCGGGGTGTGCTTCAACAGCCAGATGCCCAACCTGCTGACCTCCACGTCCACGGAGGGCACCCTGAAGGTGTGGAACTTCAACGGCACCGAGGCCAAGCACGTCTACGAGCACGAGTTCAACATGGGTCGTCTGCAGTGCATGCGCCAGTGTCCCGAGGATCCCTACACCCTGGCCTTTGGCGGCGAGAAGCCTCCGCGCTGCGCGATCTTCAACATCAAGAACTCGATAGCCGTGCGCCGGACGTTCGGCATCGCCGATGCCGAGTAGTTAATGTATATGCATTGTATGACTATTAAATAAATATGAATTATATATAAGGACCCTAACTGCCGCCTTTTTACTAGTGTTGGGTTGCTCATGAGTGAATGAACAAAAAAGAGTTGCTCACTCAACTGAGCGAGTGAACATGTTCCTTCGAACTTGTTCTTTATTGTTCACTTGTTCATTTGTGCTCACTTGCTCCTTTTTGTTCACTTGTTCAGTTTTGCTCAGTTGCTCTCTTGCTGTTTTTGGCACAAAAAGTATTTTTTTTACTTTTAGGATGCATTTTGCATACGGTTTTACAGACAATGAGCTGTTTTCTCAGAAACAGTGAAAAAGTTAAGGCCAGAACAAGTGAGAAAGTGAATAAGTGAGCAAACTGAGTGAGTTGACTCATTGGGGAAAAAAAGAAAAAATGAACATGTTCACCCAAATGAGAAGTTTTTACCCAACACTACTTTTTGCTTGATTAAAATTTATTGATAATTTGTGCATATCTGCACTTTACACTTTTATGCTTACAAAAAACTAAAAGACATTTCAGGGAAGGGCACACAAGGGGATTACAAAACTTTAAGCCTAAGCATTCCTTAAGACTACTTTACGTATACCGAATAATCTAAGCTGCGATCCTAGCTCTTGAACAGGCCCACGCACATGAGGAGATTGCGACGCGTGAAGTGCAGGGTGACAAACGGCGAGTTCTTGCTGGGAAAGGTGCGCATCAGATAAACATCCTCGTCGTTCTCGTCCTGGTGGTGCGACACGGTAATGTGATTGCTGATGTAGTCCTCGGTGACCTTGTGGAAGTCCCAGAGGGTCAGGTTGTTGTCCAAACCGGCTGCCGCCAGGACGGTGCCATCGCGACTGAACGTAATCGTGGTCACGGTACTCGTGTGCCGCAGCAGGGTGGTGACCAGCGCTCCGCTCGAAAGGTCCCAGATGATGATGTTGTGGTCCACCGATCCGGAGGCCAGGTACCGTCCGCAGGCGGAGAAGGCGAGCGAACTCACCGAGCCCTTGTGGCCCGTCATCAGGCGCACCGACTGGCCCGTCATGTTGTCCCACAGGCGCACCGTGCGATCGCTGGAGCCCGTGGCCACGTAGTTGGAATTGGGGTGAAACTGCACGCAGTCCACGTCCGACAGGTGGCCCACGAAGACGCGCAGCGCTTGATTCGAGTCCGTGGCCCACAGCCGAGCGGTTTTGTCGTAGGAGCACGAGACAAAGTAGTAGCCGTGCGGCGCAAAGCGCACATCCCACACGGGATAGACGTGCCCGCGGTAGGTGACCACACAGGACCAGGTCAGCAGGGACCACAGTCTTATGGTACTGTCCTCGGAGCACGAGAGCAGCAGGTTCATCTCGGGAGCAAAGGCACAGCGGTAGACGGGTCCGGTGTGGCCCAGAAAGCTTCTGGTCACCTCCCCGCTCCGGTCGTCCAGCATGCGCACATTGATGTCCGCCGACTCCTTGTCCAGTTCCCGCAGGGCATCCGCATCCTTGAGCGCACGCAGCTTGGCCGGCGTCAGGGACCAAATCCGCACGCTGGAGTCGCCGAATCCGCAGGCCAGCATCGTGGAGTCGTCTGAGATCTCGGCGCAGGTGACGCCCTGGTGAGAGTTGAGCACCGTATAGAAGACGGCGGAGGGCAGTTGATCCTTGCTCAGCGCCAGACGCTTGCTGGCCTCTCTGAGCGCCTTGAGCTTGAGCAACTTGTCCGAATCCTTCAGCTCGGGCAGGGGAATCCTATCGATGGAGGGGGCATTCGGATCCGACTTGGACTTCTTCGACAGCAGCGGATCCTTTTTGGGCTTTTTCTTCTTGGGCCGATCAGGGGCATCCGGATCGTCGTCCTCCTCCTCCGGCGCCGGCGCAGGCGTGGTCAGGGTCTGGAAGTCCACCTCCTTGAGCAGTCCGTAGTACACCCGCATCTTGTTGTCCTGCCGCTTGGCCTCGCCGATGTGCGAGCCCGCGGTCGCGACGCACTGCAGCTTGTTGCGCGCCATGCCCTCGTAGGTGTCGAAGTGCAGGTACTTGGACACAATGTCCGCCACCACCTCCTGGCGGCGATCCTGGATGTGCCGCTTGAACAGCGAGTGCGAGTCCCTGGACATGCGGATCACGAACTTGTCCTGCTCCATGGCGGCCACCAGGTCGTTCTCGAGCAGCTCCTCCGGCTTGGACAGCAGCAGCAGGTTGAACAGGCCCTCTATGTAGTAGCCGTCGAGATCGCACTTGTACTTCTCAATGAAGTCCTTGGCCCTTTCCCGCAGTCCACTGGCCAGGATCTTGAAGTAGATCTGCACCAGAATGGGATAGAGCACCATGGAGAGCTCGTGCTTGTATATGTCCAGGGAGTCCTCCACGAAGGTGCGCAGCTCCTTGTAGGCCTGTTCGTAGTGCTGGGCATCGAAGCTGTCGTCGCCGATGAACTTGGCCAGCGCCTCCGCCGCATTGGCCTCCGTCACCGCGGATGGCTTGTGATCCTGGCTGGCCGTCGAGGGGACATGCTTCCGCTCCCGGCTGTCATCGCCGAGGCCCAGAGCCGCACCCAGCACCTGCTGGACATCACTTTCGCTAATCTCCGACAAATCGGCACTGCTCACATTCGCCTCCTGGCAGAGCAGCTCCTCCGTGCTCTTCAGCTGGTACTTCTTGATCAGCTTCAGCAGGCACAGCAACTCGCGCTTGTCGTGGGACGCTTTGGTGCCGTTTCCGCCGTTGATATTGCTCATTTCCATGCTCATTTTCGCGGAAAATTAATCTAAACTTATGGAATCTGTACTAAAAAATATTTTGTTTTGCGTGGGAGTGTGGCCAGGTGTGCATGGTCGAAAAATACCGCGGTATATACTGAAAAGTGTAAAGTATACCAGATCTGTACAGTGAATACTAATGTTGGGAGCAAGGGATTTTAAAATGAAAAATTCTGAGAATGCTTTTGTTATTCGTTGAAATATGTTTGCGATACATTCTAAAACAACACAAACTATGATAAAATATCACCTTTTATTAGGGGGATTCCCTAAACTGTTGAATTGCTGAATTGTTGAATTTTGGTCAGCTGTTAATCAGCTGTTCCATACAAAGTCAACTTTCAGAAATTTCTGCAATTCATCAGCCTCGGGGCTGCTGAAAATTTTGTTGAATTGCTGAAAAGCCAGAGTTGTCACCTTTTTTCAAAAGTCGTGGCAACTCTGTAACATTTTAGTATCACCAGTTCGCATTATTTAGTTTATAATCAACTTAGAAAGCATATTTGTGGTTCTTTTTACCTTGGTAACACTTTTAGACAGTAACTAGCAATAATAAATCAAATTTTACATGCTTTAAGTTCCGTGAAACCTTTCAACAAATAACAGCTGTTTGAAAATTCAACAGGAACCATTTTGGGTCGTTCCCTTAATTGCTGAAAATTTTTGTTGAATTTTCAACAATTCAGCAATTCAACAGTTTAGGGAATCCCCCTATTGTATTTAATTAGTTTACAATTCGTTTACTTAGCATACTAATTATTGGGAGTTTACTGTAGCCGGTGCAGTGGTGTCTCAACATTTTTGGTATTTTTCCGAGTATTTTTGTTACCTGAACCAAAACATTCGTAATGAAGAGGAGAGTGATTATAAAAAAGGTAAAAACCAACGTAACTGGCCAAAAAAATTGGCCAATTTATATTGCAGAGGGTAATAACTTGCTGTGCGATAACTTGATTAACTTGCCATTGCTTATTTCAGTGTATTTGTCTGGCGCCCACCTCCCAAACTCCTTGAACTTTGACTCCGCTTCTCGAAATTAACCCTTGTACTCGTGCTTTCTGTTGTGTTTTTGTCCATAGTTTTTGTGAAAAATGAATGAAACCGATGCTGCGGTAGGTGGACAACTGATTTAATAACCAGATTAGCTAATTTCCTGTTCGATTCCCGCAGAAAAAGGTCGTGGGAAAGCGGAATTCGGTGTCGTTCGACCAACAGGATCCCGGCCAGCCGAGATTCAGCTTCTCCGGCCGAGTTCAGGAGCTAATCGAGGGCTACAATTCCGCCGTACAGCTGCTGGCGCCCAAGTGGCCCTGGTTCCTCTACCCCGGATATCTGACATACGCCGTATACTGGCGCTACGCCAAATATTACAAGGGCAAGTTGCAGCTGACCCCCATTCCGAATCGCCTCTACGATCTGCTGATCAAGAACGAGCTCATCAAGTCGGAGCACCTGGTGTTCGCCAGTCAAGATGTGTACGAGGCATATGCGGAGTCGCCGGACGTCAACTTTGTTAACTTGGTCATCCGCGGGGGCAGTGCAAGGATCGGCAAGGAGCCGGCCGGAGATGCGGGATCCACACCGCGAACGGTCATCAAGCAAATGCTCCAGGAGGCTCCGCACACCATTGTGGCCCAGATTCTGCCGGTGGCCCAGTGCCAACCCAACTGTCTGTATGTCCAGGTGGGTAAATCTTATAACTAGACCTCGGATTTCGCATATTTGCCCATTTTTGGTCCGATTTTTACCAAAATTTCTAGGTAGGTGTCATATTTTTCGAATGTAATAAATTCGAATGCATATCGAAAACATGCAAAAAAATATATAAATGCATAAAATATGCAAAATATATGCAAGCAACTGGAGGCTCAAACTTTTAATGCAGCGCTCTGGTATTCTAAGGAACCTTCAGTAAACACGGCGAGCAATTTAAATAAGCAGTTTGGCCGATAGGGCCAAAAACTATTTTGCCCCTTTTACTATTTTTGCCCCCTTCTCGCCTACTCGTTGGAAATATAAATAGGGCTTTCCTAAATTTGGAAAAAGAATATCTCAGAAATGACGAAAAGGAACAACATTAGGTTGCTATGAAATGGACAATCTTGAATAATTAAGTTTATTTTATATTTTGCATATTTTATGCATATGCATTTTATGCAAATATGCAAAAAAATTAAAATATGCCATTAATTTTAAACTATATTTTTATTGAAACGTACTTTGCTGTTTTCGGAATTGATCTATCCTTATCCTACAAAAAGTATGCAAATATGCAAAATCCGGGCTCTACTTATAACCAGTAAAAGATTGCTTAAAGTTTGCTAAAAAAAAACCAATATAATAAAATCCTAATTGTTACACCATTTCAGGAAAACTTCTATGGCAACATTCTGGATCGCTTTCGCGTCCGCTCCAACTGTTGGGTGCAACTGGAGCACTTCGCCGACGAGCAGACCATACCCGGGATAGCCACCAAAGCGCATGTCTACCTGCTGGCGGATCCCCACGAACTGCCCGCCGAACTGACGGAGCTCATCCTGAGCAACTACTTTAACACCCCGCGCCTTCTGCATCGAGGACACACCTACCGCATCGAGGTGAACGCCGAGTTGGTGGGCACTGCCACGTATGCCCACTACTATTTGATATTCGCCAACCTGCGGCAAGTCCACCTCAAGTGCATCCACCTGGAGACGAAGGGCAGCGAGTTCGAGCTGCAGGCTGTGGTGGCAAAGAACTTCAGCAACCTGGTTCAAGTGCCGCCAGCGCACAGTTTCCTACCTCGCCAAGTGCTGGACGGCGTGGCCCTCGTGGAAAACTACCCGAGTGGCCTGCGCAGGCCCTACAAACTGTTGCGCTCCTCGGTGGACGCCTTCCTGCCCAAGAAGTCAGCCTGCCTGTCCTCGAAGCACATCTTTCCTGTGTTCCTGCTGCAGGGCGAGCGAGGATCTGGCAAATCCAAGCTGGTAAATGCCGTAGCCCAGGAGCTGGGGATGCATATTTACGGGGCGGATTGCGCGGAGATCGTTTCGCAGGTTCCCTCGCACACGGAGATGAAGCTGAAGGCGGTCTTTGCCAAGAGCCAAGTCAGCGAACCGCTCTTGATTTGCTTCCATAACTTTGAGGTATGAATCGCTCATTTAATTTGTAAAGCCAAACTAAGAAACTGTATTTATTTTCAGATATTTGGCATAGACAACGAGGGCAACGAGGATCTGCGCCTGCTTTCCGCCTTCCACGTGCAGGTCCAGGAGCTCTTCAATCGGGATCGCAAGCACCCGATTGTGGTGGTGGCCCTGACCAGTGACAGGCACCTCAAGCCCATGATCCAGGGCCTCTTTTTGGAGATCATAAACATCGAGATGCCCAGCAAGGAGGAGCGCTTCGAAATCCTTCGCTGGATGCACGTGCGCGAGACCTTCAACGATGTGATTTATAACCAGAAGGCAATAGCTCAGCTGCCCTTGTTCTCGCGCGAAAACCAGGCTCAGTTTATGTCACGCGTGTCGCCCAGTTGGAGGCAAACGCTCAACGTGCTGCAGGACGTGGCTGCCAAGTCGCAGGGCTTTCTGCTGGGCGACCTGCAGCTGCTGTACGACAGTGCGGTTCGCATGAAGATGCGCAATCGGCTGGGCAGGACCACCTTGGAAATTTCCCACTTCGCCAAGAACCTGACCGACATGCAGAGCTCCTTCGCGGACAGCTTGGGCGCGCCCAAGGTGCCGAAGGTCTACTGGTCGGATATCGGTGGTCTGGCCAAGCTGAAGGACGAGATCCAAAGCAGCATTGGCCTGCCGCTCAAGCATGTCCATCTGATGGGCAAGAACCTCCGGCGATCGGGCATTCTGCTCTACGGACCCCCGGGAACGGGCAAAACCCTGGTGGCCAAGGCCGTGGCCACCGAGTGCAACCTGAGCTTCCTTTCCGTGCAGGGCCCCGAGCTGCTCAACATGTACGTGGGCCAGAGCGAGCAGAATGTGCGCGAGGTGTTTTCCCGTGCTCGGTCGGCGGCTCCCTGCGTGCTCTTCCTGGACGAACTGGACTCCCTGGCGCCCAATCGCGGTGTGGCCGGTGATTCGGGAGGCGTTATGGACAGGGTGGTGTCGCAGCTTCTGGCCGAGATGGACGGCATGAGCGATGGCGACACGAGCAAGCCCATCTTCATACTGGCCGCCACCAATCGACCGGATCTCATCGACCCCGCCCTCCTGCGGCCCGGTCGCTTCGACAAGCTCTTCTACGTGGGACCCTGCTCGACGGCCGACGACAAGGCAGCCGTTCTGCGCGCTCAGACCCAGCGATTCGCCCTGGAAGAAGGCGTGGACATGGACCAGATTGCCGAGCGTCTGAAGAGCGAAATGAGTGGAGCCGATCTGTACTCCATCTGCTCGAATGCTTGGCTCTCGGCCGTGAGACGCACCATAGACAGGCACTTGAGTGGGGCCATCACGGAAAAGGAACTGCTGCCGGAGAACGTGATTGTGGAGGCGGATGATTTCACCAGGTCATTCAACAAGTTCGTGCCCTCGATCAGCGCCAAGGATCTGGAGTACTTCAACAACCTCAAGGCGTCGTACAGCGTTTAAGGTTTCGGAAGATGGTTAACTAGTTCTAAGCGTGAGTTTTTTACAGACATTTTATCGTTGTTTTTCAATAAACCCGTTGATAGTTCAAAATTATTTCGTTTAAGTCATTAGAAGGTAGAACAACTAGCATGTAGGAATTGGACATTGAACGGTTTTGGAATTCTGCAGGAGGTACTTACGTGTTGCCAATTAACCTAGACCTTCCAAAAATGAAAATGGGCTCCTATCATATTGAAAAGCAGCTAAAGATACCCCCCATGCAGAGTAGGGAAACTACGTATTGGGATGATCTCTGCAGTGATCTGTGCTCAACAATCTTGGAATGAGGAGGGGTCTCTTATCAGGTGCACGGCTGCTTTGCCGGCAGACAGCGCGCTTATCGCGATTCCTCGGTTTATGGACCCTGCCAGGCAAAAGCTGTTGATGCTGGCCCCTAATCTCAGTGGGTTTAGTTCGAGTCTGGAAGGTGCTGCGAGAGGTGTTCCCAAACATTGTTCATTTTCACTTCCCTGTTACGTAACCGAAATGGCGTTGGTCTGCGTGGAGGACTTTGAGAAGAAGGCCGCTGGGCAGCTGGAAAAGAATGCCCTGGATTACTACCGCAGCGGAGCGGGTGAGCAGTTCACTTTGGGACTGAATCGCGAGGCTTTTCGACGGCTGCGTCTGCGTCCGCGTTGCCTGAGGGATGTCTCCCGCCTGGACATTGGTTGCCGGATCTTCGGGGAGCAGATGAAATGGCCACTGGGCATTGCGCCCACTGCCATGCAGAAGATGGCCCATCCCGATGGAGAGGTGGGCAATGCCAGGGCGGCCGGTAAAGCTGGCTCCATCTTTATACTCAGCACGCTGTCCACCACCTCGCTGGAGGATTTGGCAGCCGGTGCTCCAGACACAATCAAGTGGTTCCAGCTGTACATCTACAAGGATCGGTGAGATTTCAAACCTTTTCTATTCTAACTAGAGCCCTGCATGAATGGATTCAATTAATTATTTTGAATTTTTTGTTTTATATGAATGGATTAATTAGAATTTTGAGTTTAATATAATTGAATGAATTTGAATTTTGAGTTTAATAGAATTGAATGAACTTGAATTTTGACTTTAATGGAATTGAATGAATGAATGGCATGAATTCCGAAATAATTCAAACGACAAAACAAATTACTACACTATTTGAGTTTAATAGAATTAAATGAATTACAATTTTGAGTTTAATAGAATTGAATGAACGGATGGCATGAATTCCGAAATAATTCAAACGACTATTTCTTTTGAAGAAGGGAGGGCCATAATTTTGTGATTAAATCAGGGACCAAAAATAACTGTTATTGTAAATTTTTCTTACATAAAAAATCACGCACTTAGAAGGGTCCTAAAATTTTTTTAAATACACTACTATTTATATTAGCCATTGTAGTTTACAAATCCGTAATGATTTTTATTTTTTTATTTTTATAATAAAACTTAAACAATAACTGCTATTTGTTGATTTGTATATATAAACGTTATTCCCTTGACATTTTTAAAAAATGAAATAATTAAAAAACATGCTAACCGTGTTTTATATAACTTAATACTATATTTTTAAAAAATTTATTTTACCAACAAAACCGCCATAAATCAAGTTTGAGTTTTATTTATGATCACGACGAAAAAGTGTTATTTGTCAACTTTTATTATACAACTCAAAAAACAACAGTTATTTTTTTAGTTTTACTTTACAAATCAGAAAATAACTTTTAAAGTGTGATTTTTAAAATACAACTTATAACAGTTACGGTCCCTGGATTAAATCTGTATGAATTTTATTTTCTAAGCAGTTAATATTGATTTGTTAAAAATGTTCCACTTTTTGTTCTCAAAAAAAAAGCGCAAAAATCACTATGGACGGCAGTCCATGTAGTGACGAAGCGCACCAGGAGAGTGTGCGAAGGCGACTACTATTATATAGCCGCAAAATTGAAAATCTGCTGTGATAGTCCGATCGTAATGAGTAATACACCAATCGAAAGGTATTGCAAAAACTTAAAGGATTGCATACCAAGACTTTAAGAAAATCAATTGGCTTGGGAGAGAGAGCGGTGAAAGTGAAAAAGTGAAAATTTCGAGATTTGGAGCTGTTGGGGCCGGTGGGGGTAAATGCCCCCTCGCAATGTTTTAGTTATATTCCTTTTGAAAATACCCGTCGAATGAGGGGTCATTTGTCAAAATCCGACTCTCCGTTCAAAAGTTATAGCCAAAATAAGATTTTCTTCTTCTTCCCAAAATGAAAATTTAATTCTGTTTGTCAGTTTGTCAGTTTGTCAGTTTGTCCAAAATATGTTTTTTAAGTTCTGAAAATTTGATATGACGTTCGTCACATCGATATAAAAAACTTTTGTTCTACCACTTTTGGAAAAACCCGCTAGTTTAGCGGGAAAACAGCTATAAATAGCTAAAATTCGGAAAGCCGTAACTTCTATACTACTAAAGACTACTAAAGACAGACTTGTGCTGCATCTCGTTTGAAAGGTATTTTTAAATGCTATAAACGCCTTCTTTATGCAATTTGTGTAAATGTAATAGTTAAAAAGATATGAACAAAAGAAAATTTGTTTAAACTTTTTTGTTAGCTTTTTTTTAATTTTCTCAAAAACGGCTCTAACGATTTTCCTTACAACTGTAAACTGTATAGCCCTTGAGATTCCTTAAATTTTGGTATATATCATGTTTATGTAAAAAATCGCGTTTAAAAGTTATTCAGAAACGAAAATAGCCACTTTTGCCAGCTCAGAACAACTAACGCTCCCTGAGTATTGAATTTTGTGGGAGGGTATCCGAACTGTATTTTAGGGTCATGGAATCAGTAAATTTGCACTTAAGAGTTCCATATAGGAATCTTTTGTTCTACGACTTTTGGAAAAACCCGCTCCTTTAGCGGGAAAAAGCTAAAAATAGCTACATTTCGTTAGTTTGTAAGTTTTACACTACTAAAGGTACAGACATGTATCTCGTTTAAAAGGTATTTTAAAATACTTTAACGCCTTTTTATCTTAATTCGTTAAAATACAATAGTTTAAAAATAATGATTGACCAATTTAAATTTAAATGTTTATATCACTGTGGACGGCAGTCCATGTAGTGACGAAGCGCACCAGGAGAGTGTGCGAAGGCGTTTGTCAGTTTGTCCAAAATATGTTTTTTAAGTTCTGAAAATTTGATATGACGTTCGTCACATCGATATAAAAAACTTTTGTTCTACCACTTTTGAAAAAACCCGCTAGTTTAGCGGGAAACAGCTATAAATAGCTAAAATTCGGAAAGCCGTAACTTCTATACTACTAAAGCTACAGACTTGTGCTGCATCTCGTTTGAAAGGTATTTTTAAATGCTATAAACGCCTTCTATATGCAATTTGTGTAAATGTAATAGTTAAAAAGATTTGAACAAAAGAAAATTTGTTTAAACTTTTTTGTTAGCTTTTTTTTAATTTTCTCAAAAACGGCTCTAACGATTTTCCTTACAACTTTAAACTGTATAGCCCTTGAGATTCCTTAAATTTTGGTATATATCATGTTTATGTAAAAAATCGCGTTTAAAAGTTATTCAGAAACGAAAATAGCCACTTTTGCCAGCTCAGAACAACTAACGCTCCCTGAGTATTGAATTTTGTGGGAGGGTATCCGAACTGTATTTTAGGGTCATGGAATCAGTAAATTTGCACTTAAGAGTTCCATATAGGAATCTTTTGTTCTACGACTTTTGAAAAAAGCCGCTACTTTAGCGGGAAAAAGCTAAAAATAGCTACATTTCGTTAGTTTGTAAGTTTTACACTACTAAAGGTACACCCATGTACCTCGTTTAAAAGGTATTTTAAAATACTTTAACGCCTTTTTATCTTAATTCGTTAAAATACAATAGTTTAAAAATTATGATTGACCAATTTAAATTTAAATGTTTATATTAGCATCTATGAGAGCAAAAGTAAACAAACAAAAACTTCTGATATCAAATAAAAACACCTCTTAACGAGGTAAAAAACTAGTGACGATCGCACCTTCAACGTACAAAAGTTCTGATATCAAATTTTGTGACGAAAAATGATTTTAGATGCGACTAAATAAGTACGCTACCTAAAATTTATTCATTCGGCACGCTACAAACAGAAAACTTTCGTGTAGATATTAAATATTTGCTAAAGCGGGCCGAACGAGTAAATTTTAGGTAGCGTACTTATTTAGTCGCATCTAAAATCATTTTTCGTCACAAAATTTGATATCAGAACTTTTGTACGTTGAAGGTGCGATCGTCACTAGTTTTTTACCTCGTTAAGAGGTGTTTTTATTTGATAATAAATTACTATTCTAACCCACTCTCACTATTACGATTTTAGCACCATAACAGAGAAGCTGGTGCGTCGTGCCGAGAAGGCCAACTTCAAGGCCCTCGTCCTCACCATCGATGCCCCCATCTTTGGCCACCGCCGTGCCGATGTGCGCAACAACTTCAGCCTGCCATCGCACCTAACCTTGGCCAATTTCCAGGGCGTGAAGGCCACCGGAGTGGGCAACGCCACCATGGGCGCCTCGGGCATCAACGAGTACGTGTCCAGCCAGTTTGATCCCACCATCACCTGGAAGGACATTGCCTGGCTGAAGGGCATCACCCATCTGCCCATTGTGGTCAAGGGCGTTCTGACTGCCGAGGATGCCGTGTTGGCCCGGGAGTTCGGATGCGCCGGACTCATCGTTTCCAACCACGGAGCCCGCCAGATCGACACGGTTCCGGCCTCGATTGAGGCTCTGCCGGAGATCGTGAGAGCCGTGGGCGAGGATCTGGTGGTTATGCTGGACGGGGGCATCATGCAGGGCAACGATATCTTCAAGGCTCTGGCCCTCGGAGCGAAGACCGTGTTCGTGGGTCGTCCGGCTGTCTGGGGACTGGCCTACAACGGGCAAAAGGGCGTGGAGGAGATGCTGAGTGTGCTGCGCAAGGACTTTGAGATCACCATGGCGCTGATCGGTTGCCAAGCTCTGAAGGATATCACCCCGTCGATGGTGGTGCATGAGAAACAATATGCCAAGCTGTAGACCCGGAACCCTTTATTATACCCTTCTGTTATAACTCCAATGAAATCGTCAATAAAGATAAACTGAAAAAATAAAATTAGGGTCAATTCAGATTCATTTTATATTGCCTGAGACTTGGTAGATACAAGTACGACGTATCAATAAATAAAAACTAAACAGCAAAAATGATTTCGTAAGATTTCTCTCCAAATTTCATTCAACCAAGTTTACATTTTAAAACTACGGAAACTCCACTCAAATAAATTGAACTTGAAAGCTAATTTTCTTTGAGCCGGATTAACCAGTATTAACGATTGTAAAATAAAACATATTTAAAGAACATATCACATTCTAAATATTTAAATTTTTACACTTATTACTAAAGGCCGTTTCCGCTTGGTAAATTTAAAGTCGGGTTTTAGCCCTACTTTAAATTTAACAAACGGACGTGAAAACAGCCCTAACGGTTTTTTAATTAAAGATAACGGCAAATTTATATTCGATTACCAGCTAATCGATAATTTGAATAGTCCCCAAACTCCCATCACTGCATGGCATGTATACAAGAAAAAGTTGATCTGGCAGCACTGGCCCGTCTGCAGAGAAAACACAACGCAAAATTAACGAAAAGACAATGCTAGACGGCTGGTACTGCAGATCCCTGGCCAACCAGGAGGAGGGCGCCATCAAGGACGAGCCGCCGAGCGACGATGAGCCCGCCCCGCCAGCCAGAGACCGTGTGCCGGCGCTTTCCCGCGGCCCAGCCCCCGCCAGCGCGTCTTCCGTCTCTGCGGGATTGGGACTGGGAGCCCAGGACACGGACTTCAAGGAGCGCTACAAGAGCCTCAAGAAGAAACTGAAGTTCCTAATCTACGTAAATACCCTAAGTTGAACTTGGCCAACGGCAAGTCACAGCTCTTCGTGTTTACAGGAGAACGAGTACTTCCAGGATCTGTTGCACACCAACCAGCGGCGCCTGCTGAAGGTCTCCCGGGATCGCACCTTCCTGCTGGACCGCCTGCTGCTGTACGAGAAGCCGGCGAAGGACTCCAGCGACACGGATGCCACCGACAGCTCCGATTCGGAGCCAGCATCGACGTCGGGAGCTGCCGGAGGATCGCAGACCTCCAAGGACGCCATTCGCCGGAAGCACAAGGACAAGGGAGCACCTGGAATGCCGGGTGTGGCCCCGCACATGCCCACTGTGGGCGCCACAAGGGGAAGAAGACGCAAGATCCTCACCGGAATGATGCCCGCGAACCTGGGAATGCAGGCAGCTGCCGCCAAAAGACAACTCACCGCCACAGTTTCTCCCTCGCAGCAGCAGCAACTCCTGCTGCAGACTGCCCCCAAGGAGGTTGTGTCGCCTGGCCTGAGCCAAGCGGAGATCGCCCGCCAGCTGCAGGAGCGACGGCCCGCGCCCCTGGAGCTCATGAGTCCCGAGGCCACAGTGCCCACCACGATGCTAAGCGATGAAAGCCCCTCCAAGTGGTAACTACTTGTGCATTTCCCATGTTGGATTGCTAACGTTATAATTATTTTCCCAGCTATCCAAATGAGAGCCTTCATCATCTTATGGAGGACGACTCGCATTCGCACGAAGTGGCCGCCGAGGAGTGCGTGCCCATGGAGTACACCAGTTAATATTTACCCAAAGCTAAATTCTACTTTGCCTTAGCTAATAAACTATCTAGAACGAACTTTTGTTTATTTCTTTATGTTTATATTTATACATGCGCGGTGTTCTAATGGTGTTCTGCGGTCTGTTAATTCAATTAACACTTAGATTAAAAATAAAATCTTTATTATTCCTGTTTAATGTAGGCCTTAAGCTGATATTTAGGCGGTCAAAAGATGACTACATTATTTCCTTCTTTGGCAAATTTAAAGGTAGAATTTTTTTTGTTTACCGATACAAATTTTCTAGTTTTTAATAAAAAATTTATCAATTTTTAAAAATGAAACTAACACAAGTTCTATTTTAAAGATCAAACAATAAATATTATTTTTGCTAAAAAAATAATCCTCAAAAAATATACATTTTGTTATTATTATTATCTAGTCACTAGATTCTAGTGCAAAAAAAAATAATTATTTTTTAGTTTTAAAATAAAAATAGAGCAACTCAAGCCTTCAGTATTAACGAAATTAATTGAGTAGTTAGGAAACACAATCAGTACAAAAATAAATTTAAGAAACTGCAAGTACTCTGTAATAAGTAATTTGTTTTTTTTCAGGACAGGATTTATTTACAAATAAAATAATATAGTATATTTTATTTGTAAATAAATAAATTTCAGTGCTCGATCTAGTAATAAAAATAAATTTAAGCCATGTATTTAAAAAAAAATCAGCTGAGTAAATTTAACTTCTTATCTCAAATTGCGATGGCGCGAAACAGCCGCGTTATCGATAGACTCTGATATCGGTATAACTGGGAATGCCAGCCCTGGCGAATGAATCGCGATGCGATACAACCCTGTCTCGTAGATTTTATTTCGACGCGACGCGAGTGGAGAAAAACAATTGAGTTTTTTTTGCTAATTCGTGATAAATCGCATCCATTTATCCGGTCAATTGCTTCGCGAGGAGACCTGGCGAAACGGGCGCCACCAGATGTGCAACTCGTGAACGATGGCGCTGAACAAGAGGAACAGCACCCACTCGGACGCAATTTCGGGCGCCGAGGTGGTGGACTACAAGTTTTCGTGTCGCTGCTGCCTGAAGACGGACGTGGAGTACCTCAAGCTGGACTCGGTGGCGGTGGCCCGCAGCCTGGATCCGGCGGACGCCGGGGACAAGATTCCGCTCCTCCGCTGCCTGCTCTTCTGCGTGAGCGCCGAGAACGCCCCCGAGCTGCCGCAGTACATCTGCATCGAGTGCAGCAAGAGCCTGCAAGTGGCCTACTACTTCCTCAAGAATGCACTGCGTGCCCACGAGATCCTGTGCCGCAAACTGTGTCCCAAGCGGTCGGCGAGGAGACTTAATGGCTCCTTGGTCCAGGAGCCGCCAAAGCAGGAGCGAGATGAGGTATGGTTTGCTTTAAATTCAATTAAATAGCAATTCCATTTCTCTTCCTTTTCAGGACCCGCAGCGGACGAAGCCCCTGAAACCCATGCGGCACGAGTGCCAGGTCTGCGGAGTGGTGGTCTACAATCGCCTGGAGCTCAAGCAGCACATACGACAACATGCAGGTACAGCTTACATACCAAATCCAAAGCTTTTCCACCCAATCACAGTCGAAATTCCTTTTCCAGAGGGCCTTTCGTACAACTGCAAGTTCTGCAACTTCACCACGCTGAAACAGCGCATCTTGCTGGAGCACTACGTAGCCGTTCATGACCTGTCCACTGGCCAGGCGGAGGAGCACCTCAAGTCGAAGGACCTGCCAGCGCACGAGGAAGAGGAAACCAAGGCGGTGTGCACGCTGGAGGACATGGAGCTGCTAATACCCACTGTTCTGACGCCCGAGGACTACGCGCAGCCCCAGCCGCACATTGATTCCGACCAGCTGCGCGACATCGAGCGGCAGCTGGCCGTCAGCATGGGCGAGACGGCGCCGGCGGTGGACACTCTCACCTCCACCCTGCCGCCCATGGACACGCCCAACGTGAGCATCGGCACCGAGTATCTCGTCATGCCCGATGGCTCGCTGCAGCAGGTCAACGGAAGCGGTGGGTTCAGCCAGCTAGGAGTATCTAATTATCAAATTACACTCACACCAATCCTTTGCAGGCGTGGTCATAGAGTATATCGATGATAGCAAGCCGAACAATCCCTCCAATGTCAACATCGGCCTACACAATCTCCTGGCCGCCAATGAGCAAGGCGAACCGATGGATATCGATGTCAGCGAGCTGATTGTGGAGGAAACGATGCCGCAGATAAGGGGTAAGATGCGAATCGCAGGGCCAACCACCGTATGCAATACAATCTCTTGTACGCTTCCAGTCAAGCCGAAGCCAACAGCTGGCGGATCGCCCAATTACAAGCACAAGTGCAAAGTGTGTCCCAAGACATTTGCCACTGTGGCGCGGCTCAAATCTCACCAGTTGACCCACAGCAGTGAGTTGATCCCATGTTCTCAGATAATCAATGATGACTAATCGCTGTGCCTTTGCTCCGAACAGATTTGCCCAAGTTCTTCTGCGACCAGTGCGACTTTTACTCGCTGCGCAGCGCCGATCTCATCCAGCACTACAAGATGGTCCATCGGTCCGATGAGAACGGCAGGAGCGACAAGGAGCCAGCGCAGGCGGAGGAGTCGCGCGTCTTCTCGTGCGACATGTGCCTCTTCGAGACGCGCACCGCCAGTCAGTTGCGGACGCACTACACGGAGGGCCACACGATCCAGCCCACGGAGGTGCAGTTGCGTCCAAGTTGGACTGCCGAGGAGGGGGCGAGCTTTCCCCAAAAACCAGCATCGATTGGCGTTTCTCCTAGGAAACTGACGCCCGCCAAGAAATCAAATCACACCGACATCCCAGTGGGCATTAAATGTGAGTCTTGAGATCCTTTTAACCAGGGGATTCCAACTGGTGTCGTCCTTCAGCGGTATTTCAGAGTGTTATGAAATGATTCGCAAATGAAAGTTTTGATTACACTTTTCATTTGTTGATCGTATTATTTTTTTTATATTTGTTGATTAGTTTTTTTTTTTACCAACTTTTATGTTGAGATCACAATTATTTTTTTTTCCATTGTCGGTTATTTCTTTTTAATTAATTCATTTGTCGGTGATTTTCTGGCTTTCCTTATACCAACTTTCTACAAAGAATTACAATTTAATGTATGCATTAGAAAATATAGAACATTGCAAATGAATTTCAAATCTTTTGTATACCTCGAATAATACAATGTATCAAGGCTAGTTAATTGGAGCTCAAATCATGATGGTATTTAGTCTTTGGTCGTCATTAGTGGGTAGGATTGGGGATTCTCAACAAGTTTCAAATTAATTCCATATTAATAAGATCAAAAACAGCAGCAAATGGTAGGAATGTGATCACAATTGTTGACTTTCGGTAAGGAATCAAAATGATAAATTCATCTAATTTTTGTAGATTTATTTGTGTGAGTTATTAGTTTTGGTTTTTCCAGCTTACAACCCCATTTTTATTTAAGTACAACAGTAGCTTTAATTTTTTTAACCTAAGCCCCTGATTTTCCGTTTCATGTTATTCCTTCCTGGCATGTTTGTGACGTAACATCTTGCAGATCCGCCAGTTGTTGTGGAAGCACAGGTACCAGTGCACCAGCCAGCGCCAATGGCCACCACATCGACGACCATCACGGAAACAGGCGACATCAACGTGGTGGTGGATGCTACCCCGCTGTTCTATGCAGCAACCTCCACGGTGGCAACGAATCCAGTCCCAGTGACAACGGCGGTGGAACCATCAACCGGGGAGGCCGACAGCAATGCATTCGGAATCTTTCCCGAAATCCCAGAGAGCAATCTGCCCGTGAACGAGGCCGTTCCGCAAGTGGCAGCCAACACTTCCAACATTTCGATATTTGGCGACATGCAGGATTTCATCGACAACACAGACGTGGCCGCCATTTGCACCATACCCGCGGATGATATGCCCGTGGTGGATGGTGATGACATTGTGATCGATAATAACAACATCAGTCTGGACTTTGACGCCGAGAATTTGTTTGAGGACTTCGAGGAGGAGGAGGATGCGGTGGGCGAGGAGGAGGAGGAGGAAGAGGACGAGGCGGACAACGATGACGAGAATGACAACAATGATGCTGCCACGGACCAGAATCTGCTTCTAACCAGCGACGACGACGATGTGGACGACTTTGATGACGAGCAATCGAAGCATCTGCAGAAGCCCTACTGCATTTACTGCAACAAGAAGTTCACCAGCCAGTATAAATTCGAGAACCACATGTTTGTCCATCGGGGTGAGTCGGCTGGGTCACGTAACGCACATAGTTCATGTAACCTAATACTCAATTATCTGTTTTTCACTTCAGGCCTGGCCCCCTATCGCTGTGAGCTGTGCACCAACCTATACAACATGAAGCGATTGCTGATCAGGCACTATAAAACTGTGCACAAGCGAATGCCCACGAGGGACATGGTCCAGGCCAAGGGCGATAAGGTTTCCGTGGCCCGCACCAACATCGAGAAAATCTATCTTGGCAAAGTGAAGAGTAAGCTAAAATGCAACTATTAAGAAGGCACACAAACAGATTTCTATCTATCTATCCTCAGAACCAATGCTCATGTGCGCTAAATGTCCGTTCGAGTGCGACTCAGATGCGGATATGCGGAAACATCTGAACGCCCACCACGGCATTAATGACGGAGGTAAGTAGAAACAAGTCGTCTATAGATTTTAAGTAGTTGTAAACTCTTATTCAGTTACATATAATTATAAATATTTAAAAGTTATTATGTCAATCTCTTAACGGGAAATATTGGCTTAAAATGTCCTGAGTTCCATGCCCATATTGGTTATAGGTCCCCCCACTTGGGTGAAAAATGAAAGGAATTTTGGTATTCAAAAAGCGTGCAACAAACAAAAATTTTCTGATATCACCCCCCACCAAAATTCATAAATTTATTACACGTATTATTTTTATACCCTTGTGATTTCAGTCAGAAGTATAAAGTATATATATTCTTGATCAGTATCACAAGACGAGTCGATCTAGCCATGTCCGTCTGCCCGTCCGTCTGTCTGTTTCTACGCAAACTAGTCTCATAGTTTTTGAGCTATCGGGATGAAACTTTCCCAAAAGTCTTCTTTCTATTGCGGGTAGTATATATGTCGGAACCGACCGGATTGGACAACTATATCTTATAGCTCCCATAGGAACGATCAGAAAAAAACCTTCAAAAAAATTATAGCTTCGGTGTTTTTTGAAATATTACCTTCTACTTTTGGGAATTTTATTTTTAAAATATTTCTGAATTTCGAATTAAATATTTAAAAAATCGGATCACTATATCATAAAGCTGCCATAGAAACGATTGGAAAATTAAATGGAATTTAATAGGAAAAAATTATTTCTTTGTTGATTTTTATTGCATTCTCTCCTACTCTGGGATATGACTATTTTTAAATATTTCCAAATTTCGATTTTAATTTAAAAAGATCGAACTACTATATCATATAGATGCCATAGAAACGATCGAAAAATAAATGAGATATAATAGGAAATTTAACATTTTTGCGATTTGTAAAATAATAGAATGATCTGCAAGGGTATATAAGTTTCCTTTCTTGTTATGAATAATTATTAATATTCTAAATTTCTTTCAGTGTCTGTCCACGCCAATGAAGTGTTTATTATACGCAGTAAGTAACTTTGATGAGAGCTTTACTGATCTTACGTTGTGTCAGTTATGACTAGACATTGGATTATATATAAAATGTATTCTAAACATTCGATTCCTAGCGATGTTTGGTTAGAGATAAATTGTTTTCCAAAATTCATATTTAGATTTAAGCTCAAACATGATATTTGAAAAATAATTTTATCCAAACTAAGTTCGCTTGAATTCAAATGTTAATGCTACTCTATTACATATAATTATAATCCGATGAATAGTTATGACATATGTACTTACATTTCGCAATATATTCACAGAATTACCCTTCGAATGCCCGCGCTGCATTCGATCTTTTGCGGCCAAAAGCACCCTCAGTCGCCACCTGCAGCGCAGCCACTTGGTGGACACGATTATAGAGATGCAAACGCCGCAGTCGGCGGAAAGCACCACAGTAACCCTGGGCACATCATCGTCAACAGGCCCCGGGCCAGAGAACCCAGTCTTGGAGGCAAACAAACATAATGAGATGATGCAGACGGACGGTGGGGCTGAGAGGATGACAACGGCGGCTTCAGGCAATGGCGGTGGCAATGGTAAGAGCCTCAATAGCCTTGCAAGAAAGAACTCAAATTCCCATTCCAACTATGCCCAACACACGCCAACAAACCATTCGATTGATAAACTAAAAACGCTGTTGTTCGACGATGAACAATGATCGTTGATTGTTGTTGTTCTCACCAGAAGCAGCAGGCAAAGATGATGGATCAGGAAAGAGTGGAAAAATGGATGCGGCAGTGCCAGAGGAAGAACTTGATCCAGTGACACTGGACGCAGCCACAGCGGTGACTACAACAGCAATAGCGGCAGCAATAACGGCGGCAGCAGCAGCGGCTACAGCAGCTACATCGTCCGAATCGCCCATCACAACCACAGCCTCGTCGACAAACTCCACCCTCTTCCCCACACCCACACCGTTTGATTACGAATATGACTTTATGGGCGATGCAGCCCAGCGATCCACGCCCAATCCCCACGCCATTCCCAAAGCCCCCAGCACGGATGCCCCACCCAGCAGTTTGCTCAACGGCAGCGACAAGCTGCTGACCACCGCCGCCCTGGCTGCGTCGCCAGTGAAGGGTCTGCGCTCCAACTCCCGGCTGCTTCGCACTTCCACCTACATGTGCAAGCTGTGCAACAAGACCTTCGACGAGCTGGGCAAGCTGGTCAAACACGAAATGGACCAGCACTCCAATACTGAGCCTTCGCGGTGGGGCTACCAGCACAAGTGTGCCATCTGCAATACAACGTACCGAACGCTCACGCTGCTAAAGTTCCACATGAAGCGGCACGGCGGCCGGAAATCACAGTGCAAGCTGTGCCCCAAAACCTTTGTGACCACCACCGAGCTGGAGCGGCACACGAAGTCCAAGCACGGCAAGGAGAAGACGCTGCGATGCACGCTGGATGGCTGCCGCAAGACGTTCGCCTTCAAGCATCATTTGGTGAGACATCAGAACGCCACGCACTTGAACACGCGGCACATATGCCCCGTTTGCAAGGAGGAGATGCAGTCCAGCCTGCATCTCAGGAACCATATGAGCGTGCATAAGGGCCCGCTGACCTACAAGTGTCCCAAGTGCGACCGCTCCTATTTGCGGCGTGGAAGGTAAGTCTAGTAAGATTAACTAGTTTTTTTTAGATCTAACTAATGCATATTTGTAGACTCCAGAGCCATGCTCTCTTGATCCACAAGATCCGGCTGACCACAGAGGACTTAGCTGACATCTCTTCACAGTCTGGGGGGCTTACCAATCCGCATGATCTGAAGGAATCATATTGCAATAAGGATGTCGATGGCGAAATGGAAATAAAGGACGAGCCGGCAGCTGCAGCCGATAATTCCAAATAGGTCCAACTCATGCTCACACAATCAAGCAAAGTTATCGCACAATGTACAAAGTTTGATATAGAATAAGTACTGTTCCTCTCCATCGTTTTAGCACATATAATGTCTTAAAGTTTACATGTTAGGTTGTAGACTAAACGCATTAAACTTAATCTCTCATATAACATAAGCTGCACACAGCGATGGATTTCAGTTACATTTTCAATGTATTATTATCGCCTGAATGGCAAAATGTAACCAATAGAACCGCCTTAAATGTAATAATCCGCAACGGGCCTCAGGGTATCCGGAACTCATCAACTTGATTCCCAACCACGATCGAGGCAATCTCCACCAGCTGGCTCTGCTTTGGCCAAAGAGAAGAGCTTCAGAGTTAGTGTTTAAAAGCATCCAATATTATGTATTTTTTTTTTATTGCAAATCGCCTCTTATGGGTAATGTATTTTATATATTTGCGAGCAATAAATGTCTTTAGTAGAATGACATAAATTGGTTTAGTATATTTTTATTTTTATTTATACAGAACGGAAGATTAGTAATCTCTGTCATTGCAAACAAACCATGTTATTAAACTACTTCTTATTCTAGATTCGAAATATTTATTCAGTCCGCTCATTTAGGTCAGGGAATCTCCTTCTTGAAATTGTTCCACTTCCAGCTCCACTGATTTTCCAGGCTAAGCAGCTGCTGGTAGGATACATAGTCATCCCTGGCGAACTCCTTCAAGCGGGCCAACTGCATCATGGCCTCTTCCTTGGAGTAGATAGGTCCGATTAAACTCACCGGCGAAGGCTCCTCATCGTCGTCCCGGTTCGAGATGGGTTCGCTCTTGACCAGGACGGCCTCGAACTCCTGAACTTCCAGACTGTCACCGGAGGCATTGTATGCGATGTTGTTTCGCTTCCGCCATTTCTGCAGCCATCCGGTGGAGGCCGAGAAACTGGGGAAGCCCGCCTCGTCCGCAATCTGCTTGGCCTTTTCCCGCACCATTTCACCGGATATCGGAACATTCTCGCTCCTGGCGCGGGAAAACCATTCAAAGCATAGCTCATCGATATGGGATCCCTGCTCACTGAGCGGATTTCTTCGCATCTGCCTCATTTTCAGTTGTCCGGTCGACAATCCCCTTTTGATCGCCTCTTTGTGCTTTAAAATTTCAGCTGCTTGAGTTTTACCAATGTTAAATCTGGAGAAATTCGGCATGGACATAAATTTGTTCAAATGCAGCAGAGACGTTACCTTTTCGCGAGATCGCGCACCGTTAGTTTATTCTGCTCCTGTGTCCGGATTACTTCCAGTTTCTCCTCCAAACTAAGCAGTTGTCGAGGTTTTCTCGGTCGACGCTGCGGCATATCCATTGACGAACAGGAACATTAGATTGGGATAAGTTTCTTCACAAGTCAAAAGCAGAAAAACTCGTTGACAGCTGAAGTAATTTTCATGTCCGCTCAAAGGAGTGTCCGTCCGTATATATATTTTCGGTGCAGTGTGACCATGTTGTTAAACTAAACTAGCCAGTGGCGTAAGAGAATTTTATCTAGGGGGAACTTTTGACGTATTTATTTTTTTGTTAATATTTTATAAATAGTAATTCGGTTTTTAAATTTCAATTTCTTTGAAACACACTTTTGGGTAACTCAAATGTAACTCAAGTCACAACACAAAAATGGAAGAAACGCGGCTCTGTAAGGTTAAAACTATAGTTTCCTTATTTCTTTACTAAATATTTTTCTGTGTGCGCAATACACCCCCCACAAACCTCTTAGCGTACGCCCCTGCAATTATAGAAACGTCACAGAACCAAAAAAGGACAGCCGGCATGAGAACTTTTGGCAATCTTCTGAACGGTCACATTAATCTGGTCACAAAAGAGCGGTATAAAACACAATACACATTGTTTAACGAATAACTTTTTGAAACACCCAACAACAAACGTAATATCCGGCAAAGAGCAGCATCCCAAGCCACTGTAGCTCCATGGACGCCGCCACATCCCTAGCGGATCCCGCGCTGGCGGCCATGAACAAGCTGAACAAGGGCTCCAAGTGCCGAGCATGTCTTTCGGTGGACCGGAAAACCGTGCAGCTCAGCGCCGAGATCCCCAATCTGCAGAAGTCGCGCACCTACGCGCAGTGCCTGAAGCAGTGCACCCACCTGGACCTGCGGGTCATCAGTCCCGGCGGCTACCTGTGGCCCATGCAGATTTGCGTGCGCTGCTGTCGCGCCTTGGAGGTGGCCATGCACTTCGTGGAGATGGCCCTGGAATCGAATCTCAAGCTCTATGCGGAGGCCAAGAGCGTCAAGCTGCCCAGTCCCGCGAGCGAACTCAAGAGGAAGGCCAGCACCGAGACGCTGCACTGGAATCAGTTCAGCCAGGAATTCGAGCAGTTCGTCGAGGGCTACGAGGGAGTCCCGGGGCCCATTGAGGAGAATGTGCTCTACATGCGGGGCGCCAAGGTGCCTCGACTGGATGCCGACGCTTCGAGCAGCAAGAAGGTGCCCAAGGAAGACGAGGTGATCCTTTTCGATGTCAAGTACGACACCAACGATCTGGAGGAGGAGGACGAGAACGACGGCTCGGATGCCAAGAACAACGAGACCTTCTTCGAGAGCAGTATTACATCTGGAGATGCGCCTGCTGCCACATCGGTGGGCGGAGGAAGTGGCGAGAATAATAACAATTATAATTTCAATAACAAGAACGGCGACATGTCGGATGTGGAGTGCGATCTTATACAACGTGCTCTATATATGACGCTGAACGACGAGGGGAGCACCGAAAGTCCAAAGGAGGAAAGTCATCTTAAAGGTAAGCATTTAAGGAAAAAACACTATGTATTTTAATCATTTGCCGAATTGCAGCCAATGGGGTAGAGGAGCCTTCTTCACTTTCACTACAAGAAAACACCGCCAGCAGCTCGATGGCCAATATACCCACTTTGAAATGCAATATTTGCCAATTTACGCATGACGACGCGAAGCAGCTAAGACGTCATTACAAAAGTATTCACAAAATATCCATGGCCGAAGACGACATAATTGGCCTAAGCAAAAGTGGGTTGCTTTTTCCTAATATATATTCCCTTTATATATATTCAAGCGTTATGTTTCAGATCAAAACTTCAAGTGCCGACCGTGCAATAGTTATGAGACGAAAGACAGAAGCGAAATGCAGAAGCATCTCATCGACCACCATAAAATAGACGGTGACTTTGGTAGGCTCTGGATACAACTCAAAAGATCCACAACTCACTACGTTTATCCCCCAGAAATGTACTGCTACATGCAGGCCAACTGTCCGGCTTGCGACAGGATCTTCAAGGATCAGCGTTCGGCCAGAAAGCACTACACCAGAGTGCACACTCCTGTGCCGGTGGTGGTGCCGCCGACGGAGACGTTTGCCTGCAAGGAGTGCGACAAGGTGTTCAACCAGAAGGCCGGTCTGCACAGCCACCAGCGCTTTTGCCTGTTCAAGAATGTCGTGCACTGCACCTTCTGCGACCAGGAGTTCAGCAGCATGCGGAAGTACGAGCTGCATCTGCAGCAGCTGCACGCAGTGGAAACGTTGCACGAGTGCGAGATCTGTCGCAGGAGCTTCAAGAGCGCCGACACCCTGACCACGCATCGCAAGCGGCACTCGGAGCGGCACTTCCAGTGCGACAAGTGCTCCCTGAACTATGTAAACTCGGCGGAGCTGCGGGTGCACTACGAACGGGCCCACGTGAGCGAGGAGCCGGTGAGCTGCCTCACCTGTGGCAGCCAGTTCCAAAACGCGGCCCTGATGCGCGAGCACGAGCAGAGGAGTCACCAGAAGCCGAAGGTCTGGCGCTGCGAGGTGTGCAACTTTGAGGCGAAGAGCAGGTGGCACAGGCGGCAGCATCAGTACGAGCACATGGAGTGCCCGTACAAGTGTCAGAGCTGCGCCAGCGAGTTTGCCGATCGCACCAAGTACGTATAAGTTACTAAGGTATAGACTAGTCATTATCCACGTATCCATTATAGATTTCGGCAACATTCCAAAAAGGTGCATGGCACCGAGCTGAGCGACGAGCAGCTGGCCGAGATGTTCCGCGAGAAGAAGGGCTACACCAATCGGCACGATGCATTCAACAGGTCGAACAACTCGCTGGAGATACCGGGCTTCACGGAGGACTGCTTCACCGAGCTGACCAGCCTGGGCGTAGACTATGACGACATAACCACTGACCTTTTTGCCGGCTCCACAGCGCTGGACAACCTGCTCAATTTGATACCCTAAGAACCCACCGCCGATCCATCTACCTGCATAGAATTTACAAAATCGAACGGCACGATGAGAGCTGGAAGACTGGACTGCACTTTACAAATCACCCCAACCGACATAGCATTTTACCCACATATTTTAGCTTCAGTTTGAACAACTTTTTTGCTCACCGGACTGAGTTGAAAACGTACATATTTACATGTATATCCACATGATTTTTTTGAAGTCACAATCTCAATAAACAGAATGGAAAAACGCGCTCTGAAGCGCACAAAATTCGATTGAGTTCGCTTCGCACTCGGAAGGAGTTTGTATTTAAACTATTTCAATTTCAATAACTAATTAACACCCTGGATGAATTTGGATAGGAAGTCGGTGGGCTTCGGGTCCTGCGACTCCTTCCAGTAGCGCATGATGTGGCCCTTCTGCTTCCAGATCTCCACGGATTCCTTCAGCTCCATTTGGCCCTGATTAATGGGATAGTATTACAATCTATAGGTTTGTTTTTCGTCGAGGGCTTTACCTTGATGACCAGCATGTCAATCACCCGGATGTCGGTCACGCTGCGATTCCTGACGAACTCCTCGCGCAACTTGTCCCGGCACTGCTCCACGGTCATGGGGATGTCGTAGTCCATGACTGCAAGAATCGGACGGGATTATATGGCGTCGGGATGCGGATTTTGATGACATAACGGGGAGCACTCACCGATGTAGGGAATCTGGCGGTACCAGGCCTTGTACAGGTTGAGGGCCCTCTTCCGGGCCTCCTCCCGGTCCACGGACAGGATGGGTCGCACCTGCTGCACGGCTCGCTTCACGGCTTCACGTCCGGCCATTTGATTTGTTTTTATTTCGCCTGTTTTTCCAACGACAAACGATTGCTCGCAGCAGAGCAGTGTGACCGGAGCTTGAAATACCAAAAAAAAAAATACCGCAAGCATAATACAAAAGGGGGATTCCCTAAACTGTTGAATTGCTGAATTGTTGAATTTTGGTCAGCTGTTAATCAGCTGTTCCATACAAAGTCAACTTTCAGAAATTTCAGCAATTCAACAGCCTCGGGGCTGCTGAAAATTTTGTTGAATTGCTGAAAAGCCAGAGTTGTCACCTTTTTTTAAAAGTCGTGGCAACTCTGTAACATTTTAGTACCACCAGTACGCATTATTTATTTTAAAATCAACTTAGAAAGCATATTTGTGGTTCTTTTTACCTTGGTAACACTTTTAGACAGTTACTAGCAATAATAAATCAAATTTTACATGCTTTAAGTTCCGTGAAACTTTTCAACAAATAACAGCTGTTTGAAAATTCAACAGGAACCATTTTGGGTCGTTCCCTTAATTGCTGAAATTTTTTGTTGAATTTTCAACAATTCAGCAATTCAACAGTTTAGGGAATCCCCCTATTGTTATTTTTACAAGTTTCAGATTGAAATAAAAACTTTATAACGGAATATTGGTATTTTCTCTTCATCAGAGCATCCGGGCTTCATTCGTGCGGTCACACTAGACAAAGGGGGATTATTTTCACTCGCTTGATTTTTTTGTTTGTTGCTGAAAATGTCCACGAGATCCTCTTTCGGCGATGAGGAGCAAACAAAAGTGCCCCGCATCATGACCTTCCGGCCCAGCTACGAGGAGTTCAAGGACTTCTCCGGCTACATAGAGTATATAGAATCCCGCGGAGCTCACCTAGCCGGCTTGGCCAAAATCCAGGTAAGCTGGCCAACCCCTGGGACTAATTGGACCAAGCGCTAATCCCGCACTGACTCTCCACAGCCACCGGCGGAATGGGTGCCCCGCAAGTCGGGCTACGACATAGAGAACATCAATATGACAATTCCGGCGCCGATCAGTCAGGTGGTCACGGGGTAAGTGCCTCCCAATCCAGGGCCATTACACTCAGCAAGGATCCCCTTTCGAAAAGCAGGGCCCACGGAGTTTACCAGCAGATCAACATCCAGCAGCGCCGCCAGATGACCCTGCGCCAGTTCATGGAGAAGGCCAACTCCGAGCTGCACCAGACGCCGCGCCACTTCGACTACGAGGACCTGGAGCGCAAGTACTGGAAGAACATCACCTACATATCGCCCCTGTACGCGGCCGATGTCAAGGGATCGCTGAGCGACGAGGAGCTGGACGTGTGGAACATCGGGCGACTGGACACCATCCTGAACCTGGTCAACACGGACTACAACATCATCATCGACGGCGTGAACACGGCCTACCTCTACTTTGGCATGTGGAAGAGCTCCTTTGCCTGGCACACCGAGGACATGGATCTGTACTCGATCAACTATCTGCATTTCGGAGCTCCCAAGACCTGGTACGCCATCCCGCCGGCCTATGGCAGACGGCTGGAGAAGCTGGCCAACGACACCTTCGCCGAGAACTACCAGGAGTGCAATGCCTATCTGCGCCACAAGATGACCATGATCAGTCCGAAGGTGCTGCGCCAGCACAACATACCCTACAACAAGATTACCCAGGAGGCGGGCGAGATCATGATCACGTTTCCCTTCGGCTACCATGCTGGGTTTAATCATGGCTTTAATGGCGCCGAGTCCACCAACTTCGCGTCGAAGCGTTGGATCGAGTACGGCAAGCGGGCGAGCATCTGCAAGTGCCGCAGCGACATGGTCAAGATCTCGATGGAGACCTTCGTGCGCCGCTTCCAGCCAGAGCGCTACGACAATTGGTTGAGGGGCGAGGATATTGGCTGCCACCCCGAAGAGCCGGGGAAAGTATGCGCTGCGGCGCCGCCAACCTTAAATGAGTATGAAAAACAGGCCAGGTATTTTATTAGCTCACAAATAAGTTGACTTTTTCACTAAGATAACCCCAATACTTCAGTTTACGTGTGGCCAAACCCAAGGAAGAGTCGCCACAAAAGCGCGGCTGCTCGCTGGCCGCCAATGGATGTGAATCGAGTGCGGAGCCCACCGAGGATGCCGACGACAGGGCCAGTGTGAGCAGCTACAACAGCTGTCGCCAGCTGCAGCCCGTTGTTAAGCTGCGTAAGCTCCCATCCTATCCTTCCGTACCTGAACCAGCTGCCGCAGCAAAGAGATACGACTTCAATTCCGAGGCCGTTGTGCGCGTGAAGCGTTTGTGGAACGAACTGCCGTGTCCACAGGCCGGTGTCAATCTGCTCACCAACGGCGTGGTGAAGAACACCAAGCGCATGCGGTTCCAGACAAAAGTACTCACACTTGACGACGAGGACTGAGGATTCCACTGATAACACTGCTGCGAGGCAGTCTTTCGATCTCCTTGTTGTATTTTTGAGCGGCTGCAATCAAAGATCCACTAGTGATAGGCAATTTGTATTTTTTAATAGTTTCTAAGCAGACTTGACGCCATTACCAAGAAGATATGTGTATAGAGTTTAGGAGACAAGCAAATTCGTATTTAAAAACTGTGCAAAATTTATAAATTTTTAAGATGTAATTGGAGCGAGGCAAATATTTTGTAACAAGTGTCCGTTCCCACCGAAAAGAAATTGCACTACACTTCAATTTGGACTAAGCCGAAATCCTTTTACAAAGTAACGCCCAAAGGGGTCAATGCCTGTAATCACTTTGATTTGTTATGACATGTGTGAAATTCTTTTGCAACAAATGGCGGAACGCCTCTTTAATTGCTACGATTCGCGGGCTATAAAAGCATTCAGAGTCTTTCCTCGTCACAGTTACTTCTTAGCCTTAATCGTTTGAAACTAAACATGTTCGGATACTTTAAGCTCATGTACCCTGCTCCCATATCGGAGCCCATCAGCTCCAGGGACTCGAATGCCTATCTGCTTGAAACGCTTCGATTCTCTGGCCTAAACCTACGAAACGACTTTGGCGTTGGCCGCAAGATCTGGCGGGTGTTCTCCTTCACCTACAATATGCTGATATTACCAATCAGTTTTCCGATCAACTACACCATCCACCTGGCGGAGTTTCCGCCGGACCTGCTGCTGCAATCGCTGCAGCTGTGCCTCAACACCTGGTGCTTCGCCCTGAAGTTCTTCACCCTGGTCATCTACATGCCCCGTTTGGAGCTGGCCAACAAGCACTTCGACGAGATGGACGCCTACTGCGTAAAGCCGGAGGAGAAGCGCAAAGTACGCGACATGGTGGCCGCCATCACCAGGTTGTACCTGATCTTCGTGGTGGTCTACGTTCTGTATGCCACATCCACGCTGCTGGACGGACTGTTTCACGACCGTGTGCCCTACAACACATACTATCCAATGGTAAACTGGAGAGTCGATCGCACTCAGTTGTACATACAGAGTTTTCTGGAGTACTTCACCGTGGGCTATGCCATTTTCGTGGCCACAGCCACCGATTCCTACCCGGTAATTTACGTGGCCGCCTTGCGCTCCCACATCCTGCTGCTCAAAGACCGAATCGTCAATTTGGGCGAAGCCAGCAACGATTCTGCCACCGATCCGCAGTCCACATTTAAGTCTTTGGTGGATTGCATCAAGGCTCACAGAACCATGCTGAAGTAAGTGAATTCGGTTATCTAAGGAAAAATATTTTTTTGAACAGAGGTTATCTGTATGATGATAAAATTGTTTAATTTTGTATAGAATTTAGAATATTTGTAACAAATTACCAAGAAGTATTCCTTCTGTCCTTTGATCTGAATTGATTCAGTTTAAAAAATATTTCAAAAGATATTTTCTTAAGTATTTGATATGCAATTTTCACTATATTTTCCTATTTAACGTATTGTAATTATTTTATATATAACAAACAAATTGTTTATACCTATAAAATGATTTTAAACCTTAAAGTGTATGCTTTAAATAAAATTAAAATACACCTTAAATACAAATTCCAATACGTTTGCTTCAGTTTTTGTGATGCTATTCAACCCATCATCTCTGGCACTATTTTCGCCCAATTTATCATATGCGGATCCATTTTGGGGATCGTTATGATTAATATGGTGCTGTTCGCCGACCAGTCGACCCGATTTGGCATAGTTACCTACGTTATGGCCGTCCTGCTGCAGACCTTCCCGCTCTGCTTCTATTGCAACGCCATTGTGGATGACTGCAACGAGCTGGCGGATGCACTTTTCCACAGTTCCTGGTGGATGCAGGACAAACGGTATCAGCGGACAGCCCTTCAGTTCCTGCAGAAGCTCCAGCAGCCCATGACATTTACGGCAATGAACATATTCAACATTAATCTGGCCACCAACATCAATGTAAGACCATCGATCTCCAAAAGATCACGACTCCCAACTTGAATTCTTGCAGGTGGCCAAATTCGCCTTTACCGTCTACGCCATCGCCAGCGGAATGAACCTGGATCAAAAGTTGCAGATTCAGGATACGCAATAAAATAACCGCACCAGAGGTAAACGTACATACATCGATTTATGAACTTAACACTTGTTTGCTTCGTAGTATTATAATAATTGTATATGCATACAGCGAATTATGAGTAACGTAAACTAGTTAAAACAAAACGTGACCGAACAATGGGTAATAAAGAAAATCGCTACATATTTATACCGAACAGCCCCTGCAAATTTTGAATCGGGTTCTGCAGAGGCCTTGTCTATGGGCTACATTGCTCCCTTCTGCTGGCCGTTTCTTTTGCATGATGTGTCGTCGGGTGACGGAAGATGAAGTTGGCGAGAATTGCACATATAAATGCCAAGCATGGAGTATTTTTAGCTCGCGAACAGTTCGAATGTTTCGGCGGCAGTTTATTTCGGGCTGGGGAGGAGGTGGAGCGGATCTCTAAGTATATTGATGATATTTTAATGGCTGGCATAGATGAAACAGCGAAGGTTGTACATTTAACATAAACTTAGGCGAGATAACTATATGTGTCTTTGTGTCCCTCCATACGCTCCAGATACTCCTTCTCGATCAGGATGTCTATGCACTTCTTGATCACGGGCACCTTGGGCTTGAAGCGCGTCGACAGCTGGTTAAGCACCTCCGAAATGAGATTGGTGTGGTTGAGTCGCTTGCGCATCTTCATAATGCGTACGATCGCCGCCTGGATCAGCAATTTTCGGTCCTCCTCTATGTGCTTATGTACAGTCTCCTGCTCCACCTTAAGTTCAGTCTTCAGCGGCTGGTTGATGTTGATGCGGCGCTTCTTGTTCTTGTAGTCCAGGAACAGCTCCACCGTCGACTCGGGCGTCAGCGAGTTCTCGTTGTCGCTGGAGGTCAGCACCTTCGCCTTGAGCAGTATTTGCAGTACCTAAAAGTTATCCCCGCATGAGTAAGTAGTTAGGGAATCAAAAAACCTAAACTCACCTGAATCAAGTTCTCCTGCTGGGTCTGCGTGTTGTCCAGCAGCTGTTGGACTGTGAAGCTGAGCTGATCGTTGAACTGCAGCAGCACCGACATCTGGAAGGTGCTGGCTTGCAGGGTATAGGTGGAGGAGTTGTTGCGGTTGACGTTCATGATCAGCTCGCCCTTGCACATCTGGTACAGCCAGTTGAGCTTGCGACCCGAGTGGCGGGCGGCGTAGAACTCGTTGAACTGTCGCACCGAACGCTCCAGCTCGGAGGGAAGCAGGAAGGTGTTGCTCAGCTGGAAGGGCCAGGAGCCCGAGGACAGAACCTCGATGCCGAAGTCAATTTCCATGGTCACGTTCTTGTCGGCCAGGTACTGCTTGAAGTTGGAGTTCAGGTCCTTCGAGACGCCGATGTCCTGGAACATGCGCTGCAGCTTGACGGTGTACTCGTAGCCACACGTCTGCTTCAGCTTGGAGATCATCATGGCCTCGGCGTCGTCCGAAGCCGATGTGTGGTTGACCAGGCGCTTGGCGAGCATCTTGGAGTAGTATTTTTGGAAGACGTCCTTATCCTCGATGTACTTGAAAACGACCATCACCTGGTTCAGATTGTCCTCGAGCTCCTTGTCCTCGGGATTCTTGGACGACTTCTTCAGCAGCAGGTCGCAGTACTTGGCCAGCAGCTCGGGCGATTTGCTGGCACTGTTGGCGATCGTAACCACGTTCGAGTTGATGAACTTGCCGCAGGCCTTGTCCAAGGCGGCCACGAAGCCGTTGTCATTGTTGAACGCCGTCAGGACGAGGGCGTTGTACTTCTTGTGCACGTCCAGGATGGTCTGGACGTACGTCTTGGGATCGTTGGCCGCGTCGGTGGTGCAGCACTTGGCAATGGCCTCGGTGCCCTGGTGGAGTATGTGGTTCTCAAGGATCGACTTGAGATCTGTCAGGTTTTTGGGCGAGAGGGCCACCAGCGAGTACATCCGCTTAAGATCGTCGTTTCGGTCTGCGTTCAGCAGATTCTGAAACTCGGTATGGAATATTTTCAGATGTTTTTCGATCAGAACCTGAAAGACATTGATTCGGTTAGAAGGTGAACTATTGAATGGGAATAGGGAATAGGCAATTCAACCTGTTCGCATGTGGACTTGAGCGCATCCGCCGTGGTCTCGTGCAGATAGGAGAGTCCGTTTTTCGAGTTGAAGCCGCGCACGCGCTGTGTCTCCTCCTCCAGCCTGTTCTCCACGTGCTTCAGATACTCCGTGACCGTGTTCGTGGACAGGAACGCGTCCGACTCCTTCTCGTAGAAGGCGTAGGTGTCGGCGATGAACTTGCTCTCGAAGTTGTCCTTGTAGACGGACAGCTTCTGCTGCTCGGCGTCGGCGTCCTCCTCGTTGAAGCTGAGCTCCACGTAGCACTCGATGACGTCGCGCACCAGCGACCGGTTGATGAGCTTGCCCTGGCGCTCCTCCTCGATGGACTTGAGCACCGCCTTGGTGACCGGCTCGTTGAGCACCTGGAACAGGTGTCCCTTCCAGGCGACCAGGGCCAGGCGGTAGATCTTGTAGATGCCCTTCTGGCCCTCCTCGCACTCGCGCTTCACCCAGTTGCGGTTCAGGTAGTTACAGATGCCGTCGAGGACGGTGCTGGAGAACTGGTAGGACTTCCACTGCTTGGTGTACCGCGAGAGGAGCACCTCCTCGCCGCTGATGGCCTTGAACTTGACCAGCAGCTCGCTCAGGTAGGACTTGAGGAACTGCTCCAGCCGGTCGTACAGCTTCTTGCCCACCAGCTGGGCTCCGCCGGTCTTCCCGCTGCTCCGTCCGCTGGGCGCCGCGTTCACGCTGGTGCAGTAGTCGTACACATGGGTGTAGAACCTCATGTACTGGCTGCGGGTGAGGGACTTCTCGTGCTCGAACACCTGCAGGATGCCCTCGACCAGCTCGCTCCAGATGTCGTCCAGGTTGACGAGCTTCTGTGTGGTCTGGGCATTGCTGGAGCGGTTCATGTTGGCGGTGGGTGGCGGCAACGGCCTTCTGCCTTCTCCCACTGGAGGATGCTGTGCCTGCAGTGGCGCTGGGCTGGAGGAGGCGGTGACCCTAGGTGGCGACGGGGGATGGCTGCTTCTGCTGCTGCTGCTGCTGTCCAGGTGACGTCGTTTGGCGGCTCTCGTCCTGGGAGCTGTGGCCGGAATCTTGGCGAATCAGAGTTCCAGTTTTGGAATTTAAAGTGTCAATCTGCGGAGGAGATACGAAACAGAAACGGTACAAAAACGGAATGGGAGTGGGAATGTGGTAGGCCTCGCCACGTAAAAAGCGACGACCCGAAGGTCGCCTATTATGATCCAATGTCACAGCAATAAAAGAGAGGCTTGCGGAATACACATATATATATACACACTCACACAGCTCAAGGTGTAATGCAATGCAACATGGTCGGACATGCCCTGTAATGTAGGGTATTGGCCAATCGGATGGCAAGTGGAACCCCGCCACCGCCCCCGCCTATCGATAGATCGTGTTCGAAAACCAAACTTCCTGGTTAAATAAACACACACACACGCACGCAGTCGCCCTCGCCTTCACACACACATAGGCACATTCAGATATAAAAAAAGTAGCGCACATAACCATTACACTGCAGTTAAATGCCTAAAATGTCCAAGATTTCATTGCTCCCACCAAACCGAATACAATTTCCTGGAAAGTAGCCTGTGTGCCTGAGTTTTCTTTCCGTGACGTAGTGATTTGATTTCCCCCTCGGAGCACACACACTTTTTCTCTTTTGTTCGCCATTTTCACAGCCCGAAATTTTCGTCTGGCGCTGCCCTCTCACCCATTATGCCTTCAATTACCTGTTGCCAGATCGATGTGGTTTAAAGCTAAACTAAATTAAAAGTGTGTTTCGCAATGGTGCTTATAATTAAATCAACTGCTTTTCTGTGAAAATCACTACTTTCGTTTATTACTAACTATTAAAATAGAGTGACCGCACGACACTGCAGCTGTAAAACCATAAACGATAGTATCGAAGGTGGTCACCACTGTGATTTTTACCTGCATATATCGCGCATCACTATTTTCGCGATAGTCAAGATTTAAAATCACTGCATTGATGATGAAAGGAGCATTGAATCATGATTAGCAAAAACAGGATCGTTTTTAATTTGAATAAGATTAGGGTATAAACATTAATTAAGTAAATACACCTTTAGTTTCATCTCTAAGAAATTATTAGTTTTTTTTATACTTGGGTGTTTAGGATTTTTCCTTTTATTTCTTGTAACAATGTAGCTTTTCTTTTACCTTAACTTTACTTTTCCACATCAACTATTATTTGATTTTAGGCGGCTGCCCAAGTGTGACCAGATAAAAAAAGCGGCATTTATTTTCAGCTCAGCTTTCCTGTGTGTGGCAACTCTGAAGCTAAGCAAAACAAAAACAGTAAAGAAATTTAAAAGGTCATTGTTTATCCCAAAAAGCGGCTAAATTTAGTAACGTTTTTTTACGTTGGATAGAAGACAATGTCCGGTCGCTGGTTCCTCTTAGTTGCTGCAGCAGTGCTGTTGCTACTATGCCACCAGCAAACGTGTGACGCAGCAGCCACCCAGGCGCCCCCAAAGGGGGAGGCAATTGCGGAGCAGAATGCGCCGGTTGCCCAGGCGGACCCTAAAAAGCCGTCCGTGAAGAAGGCGCAGCCCGAGGATCCTTCGGCGGGACCAAAGGATTCCATGGTGGTAGTGGACAAGGGTGCACCAGTTCCGGCTGCCCCGGCAGCACCACCAGTCGCCCCACAAGCAGAGGCCAAGGCACCGGAAGTGACCAAGTCTAGCGGAAGCTTTCCCGTGGACAATGTGGAGCAGACCCGTATGTCACCCGATATGGACTTCCCCGGCCAGGCCGTGGTCTATATTCTGGTGGGTATTACCAGTACGGCTATTCTACTGCTCGTGATGCGGGTTTATCGGTGAGTTAAAGGGAGTAATTTGTCTATGTTTTAAGGAAAATTATTTGTTTAATGGTTTTTATGAAGGGTTTGTAATGGTTATAATATTTCCATAGCTCAATAATTGAGTTATGAGCATTTCATCACACCTGCACATTTTGCATTTGTATTTTTAGTACTTGCTATTTTCTGTTTTACTGATTGATTGATGCTGATAAAAATAATAAAATCGCTGATCTTTACAGGCTGCGACTGTCGAGAGCGGAGCGCAAGTACGGCGTGCAGGGCGACCGGGCCAACCAGGAGCTGACACCGCTGCCGATGGCGATCGAGGATGTGAACAGCGACGAGGAGGACCACACCCTGTTCGAGGTCAATCGCCAGAACATACGCATATTATGAAATAGCAAACACGAGCACACGCCAAAGATCCGTTTGGCTGCACCGCCATTTCCGACACTTCTCAGCAGATCTTGCCTTACTTCGTAGCTATTTAACGCTTTGTAGATTTGCGCTGTAGCTGCCAGCCAGTAGCCCACTAAGCCCACTAATAACTAAGTTCTGTGCATTTCTCCCACTCGCAGTTGGTTCAGGTTTAACGAATCAAAGGAAAACAAAACCACTTGTGATAAAGATAACGATGATATATGTATGTCTATAAGTACGAAGATGCCGCTGAAGCCCCGAAGGCATTAAAAATCTCAAAAAAGTACCGATGCTTTCAACTCACCTCTGTGTGGATGTTCCATATTAATAAATGTTATATAAAATGTACTTGGTATTCTGTTTATTCTCCACACTTTCACAAGACTCTAGCTAAACTTAGTTATACATTTAGACTTAATACAGTTTGATGGGCTTAACGATACGTTGGACAAACAATAGGCTGGATACAGGCAGTATACGCGTACGCACAAAACAAATGCACTTACTCGGACTTAACAACTAGGATCACATAAATAATTTATTAACAATACTGCGACTGCGGCTGTGGCGGTCCTGCCCTGCCAAGAAAAAACCTCAGGGAGCTTACGACTACCTCTAACACTAAACTTGAGCTTCGCTAACGTTTTTCAATTGTGGTTGGCACTGTAGTTTGTAATATTCTGCCTTCTCTCGACTAAGCAGAGTCGGGTCCAGAGGCTAACTAGTGTGGCTATTGCCACCGGTTGTGGTCGGTGATCGGGAGTCCTCAAATCATGCTGCCGAACATCCGTTTGCCGCGGGTCAAAACCAGACTGACCACCATCACAGTCAGCAGGAAGAAGACCAGGCTGAGGAACGTGGTGATGAAGCGGCATCTTTGGCGGAACTTCTTCTCCTTCTCCATCTTCAAACGCAGCTGCTCGGCCCGCGGAAGGTCGAGCGTAAAGTCCGATTCGGGTCGTGAGGATGGCTGTAAAAAGCAAGATTATACGATAAGTTTTGGGTTTATAATGATACGTAAACGCTTTATTCTTCTGTATTTTCATGACATTTTTAAAAATTAAAATGTAATTGATTTTATTCAAATAGATTATACTTAGATTTATTTGAAAGCATATTATTCAACTGGTTAACCCGTAATTCACTAGATTAGTTTTTAAATAAGGTTGTAATAAAAACATTTAAAAAGAAGAAAATGTAAAACTAATAAAATTAATTTTAACTTTAATTTTATTAGTTTTACATTTTCTTCTTCCTTTTTATATGTTTTTATTACAACCTTATTTTAAAACTAATCTAGTGAATAAAAACATTTAAAAAGGAAGAGGAAAATGTAATGTAATTTTAACTTTAATTTTATTAGTTTTACATTTTCTTCTTCCTTTTTACATTTTAAAAATTTTCTTTTTTTCTCTACCTATTTTTTAAGCATCTATATAATCTTTTGTAAAATAAAATTTGTTTCTAAATGTCAAAATAATTATTGTTTCTTTAAATGATATTGTACCTCTAGTTCCTAAGTAATTTTGTAATTACCACAAATTGACCGATGTTAATCAAAAAGACATAGTCTTACATCATACGGGATAATAAATCAAATAAATAAATAAAATCCGTACCCTTTAGAGTAAACTTTAAATTTAAAAATATTATTTTCTACTGAATTTCTTATAATTTGACCTAGGGCTGTTCGAGACAGAAAAGTTCGACTGTAAATGCCACTTGGGCCTGCAATTAAGTTAATTAATATTTGATGATATAAGCGTTTCGGTTTTATGTAAATCGCTGACCATCAACGACCGCTGACGATCTTCTCTTGACATTGATTATGATCGTTTTAATAGCGCATAATCGCACCGATCCTATTTTGAGTCAAAATAAAGCTAAGGCTCGTTCGAGCATTTCGGGTCACAAAATGTTTAACCATAAATCACGGCCCAAACACCGTCTCGTGCCTGCCAATGTTTGCAGTTGAGCAGGGCGTGGTCATATGCTAAAAAATTCAGAAAATAAACCAACAAAAAGGGCTCCAACGCACAACAATTTGACCCACTAAGCTTTGTTTTCTTCGCTTTTGTTGTTTTGCCTGCGCTCATCTTCATTTTTTTCCCGATCGTCTCACTTTTAGCGACACAACCTTGAAATCTTTTTCAGTAACAGCGAAAAAAAGGCAAGAGGCAGACTTGAAACAAAACGTTAACAGTTTTTTGTTGATGATTATTTTTCGTATACTTTTTTTTACCGATTCTCGCTAAACATGTTAAAAGTTATGAAACACTTTTGGAAATTTCACTCAGTCAGGTGCAAGCTTATTAAAAAATGCATTAGTTTATATATCTCTATCCATATCTCAACACCAAAGGGCATTCAGCATTACAAAAAACTGCGACACATTCAGCAGCAACTTCCGGCGGAAGTGAAGTAATTTCCTCACTGAAAATTACATTTGAACCATGGAAGTTTCATCACATTCAGTTTCAATCAGAGAAGGAACAAGTTCTGTGGGCCAAAGTGCTAACCAATCTGCCTAACCACTCGCTTGTGTCAAATGCCAGATGGAATCGCTTATCGAATTTCAAGAGTGAAAGCGGCGTATACGCAATGCGGTCATTAAAAGGGCATTCAAGTGTAATTTTGTGTGTGTCTGGAGTGCTTGTGCTTTCAACACACACTCGCCTCGGCATGTGTGTAATTGAGCTGTGGCAAACAAGGCGAACACACAATTTTGCCTGCAAAAATTTGTGCACACCTATTTTTGCATCTTATTGTGATTGCGACGGGTTTTGGAATTTTTTTTGCGGTATGCCTTGGGCTGCATTGTTTTCGATCCGGGTGATCATTTCTTTTTCTGTTCGCCCAACTACAGGCAATATTGGTTGGTAGGCAACTTGGAGTATTCAAATAGAGATAGGATAAGATTAATTTTATTTAATTTTTTAGTTATTTGTGTTAAGGAGGTAAATATAACTATCGACTATCAAAACAAGATTAATTGTAACATTAATACTGATTTAAGCGGGGCCAAAATTATAAGTACAGTTTTTACACCCAACAAAAAATTGATATGAAACGATGATCAATTTGATATTATGTGGTATCAATTTTGACTTAATATGCGTCACATCAATACCTGAAATTTACCATGTGAATATTGATTTGATATGTTTTTATTTTTGTAAGACAACTTTAAATATTTAAGACAGAGCAAGAAACGTGTTGCTTAGCGAATGTAAACTGTGTTTGGAGTTCGACCAGACACACACACAATCAAAATGAGAAATTGAAATGAACACAACTTTGCGGTACATTTTTTGCCTTCCGGCTTCTTTTCTCTCCCTTTTTGATGATTCGCTTGTCTGAGGTTAGTGATGCCGTTCAAAGTCGGGGAATACATATATATAGATGTGTATTCATTATTACCGCTGCTGTTTATCAGTCAAAGTACTGTGAAAAGGCAAGACGTAATCGGCAAAAGATGACGGGGTCGGAGGCTGCGGGGAAATTACCGCATTCCGGCATTTGCAAGTGTATTGGCTGCAAGCGATACACACGAAAAAATATAATGATGATCGATTGGATATTAAATCGTTTAAAAGCCTTAAGTTTGTACGTTGCTGAGGATTTTTTTAATCTTTAAAGTTGACATACCAAGTAATTATTGTGCGAATTGAAATATAAGGGCAGAATTCGAGATATTAGGTTTATAAGAAGAAGCAATTCCTAAATGATTGATTGGCTTCTTATTCATGTTAAGCCAACTTAAACATTAAGCAGGTATTCTAATGTATTTTTTTAAAGATCAACTTTAGATTTTTCCTAGTAAGACGGTTTGGGAGTTCATTAGCCCCGATAAAATTATTAGAGACATAATAATTAACAGGCAAATGTGATTCCCCTCAATCAAAAAATCATATTTAGATACTTTTCAACATTAATACAAAAATATTTGTGCAAAATATTTAGCAGTTTAAGTAAAATTTTTCCTGTGTACTTTACTATGTATCCACCGTGTTTGTGGGAGTTGGAGTGTAACGGTTTTATTGGCTTGCCGTGCCAAATGAAGTGCAATTGTGGTGTAAAACGCCGTGGGTGGATATGAATTGAAACTTGGGCCCCCGGAGGTGCCGGAATATCTTGCCGATTTTAGCGCCCAGGGGAGACGCCTGCCCATAAGCTAATTTGCAAATGATGCCGCACACCAACACTCTGGCGCACACCAACACTCTGGCGCACACGCAACAAATAATAAATAAATAAATTATATAAAAAACGGCCATAAATTCGGCAAAGATATGCAAAATGATGAGAAACCGACTACTGGCTGTAAATTCCCGCTCAACCCGGCCTTGAAACACATTGTATATATCGGTGCCCCCCAAATACGGGTTCAGCTATTGGGTGTGTGCTAATTTTTGAAAGAAAATCCATCGATCGGCGGCGGCTCTTTAATTTGCCGCACACGTTTTCCTCCGCTGACATTGAAAGCGCTTCTGTTTCCCCGCTGTCGCTCTGGAAGTTGGCCAAGTTTAATGTATGTTCGCTGGTACCGACGAGCAAGTACATCAGGTTTGAAAAATCACTCCAAGAGAAAACAAAATTTTAACACGTCCGCGAACAACTGGCCGACCGTCGTAATCTCCGCCGGGCGGGGAATCCGTATTTTTGCTCACGTCGCGGCAATGGAAATTCACCTGACTGCAATTCGGATTGTCTACCTAGAAGAGATATCTTGTACTTTGCGTTATCTGCAGACACGAGAGTCTAGGTATTTTCCCCGGCACTTGCACATTTTTGTCTTGGTTTATTTTCAGCTCATTCCAGCACGATGGAATTCTATAAGTTAAAGTTTGGGTATACTTTTCCTATTACAAAAAAAGTTCAATTATTTGGGCAGAATTGATAACAAAACTTGTTAAATCTGACCTTGATCTATAGTATAGATTCTATATTGCCATTAATATGATGTTTTCAGGTTATAATAAGGTACAAATATTTGCCCACATCTAATTTCGATAGGAAATATTTAAAGTTCGTTTCGTGTGTACCATTTTTTCGGGGACTTTTCACTGATCCATTGTTTTCGGCACTAATCCCTGATCCATTTGCGCCGAGCTGAAGTCAACAACTGATCCGCCGTCTGGCCCAATACCAGGTGAATGTCTTCATGGGGGGCACTTCTACACATATTAGTTTTGTTTTGTCTTCGCCAATTAACGGGCATATGCTAACTCGAGTAAAGTGTGGCAATAAGTCCACGAGTCGCGAGCCTGAGTCGCGGATTTAATTCAATTTAAAAGTGTGTGCAAACATTTATGCAATTGCAAATGAATTTTCTTCTTTCGCCTGCTCCGCGTTTTTGCACCGCTTTGCAGTGGTGAAATTGCAATTGGAGGCTGGCTGGTTGAGTCACCACCACCACTACCACCAGCAACACCACCACCGGAGGGGGCGGCTGCGCCTCTGGGTGGGCGTGGCAGAATTGCGAAATTCAGGTGGCAGTGGCAGTCTAATTAGTCGCTGCCTTTCCCTCGGCGCACACGGCGTATGGGCAATAGGTGGAAATTTGATACCATAATTGCGGGCAGTGCCGCAGCTTCCGTGGAAGCAATACCCCTGGGCCACTAACGGCCACTAGTCATTTATATAAACCCGAAGAGACCCCCAAGGTGGTCAGTGCACAGAGAGAAAAGAGATCAGTGATCAATCCAGTGTTTTTGGAAGGTCAATTTGATCAGTTTGAAAGATAATCTGTATCTGCCTGTATCTTAATAATTATATTTTCTAAATTCTAAGGAGGTCATTTTTTGGTTATACTAAATGAACACTAAACACTTGGAATATTTAAAAAAAAATCACTTTTGATAATATAAGGAAAACTAACTATCCCTAAATAAAAATTATTGATTTATTAAAAAAATTAGATTCGATTAATAATAAATAAGTTCCGTTAAAAAAATCCCTATAAAAGAATTTTAAATTTTCTGACAATTACCAAGAAAATTAACTTTATTCTCAGAATATTAAAAATAGCTTTAAATTAGATTAGCCTTTCCCCTATTTTTTCCGAGTGAGAACCTCAATTTAAAGGCCCGAGTGACAGCCTCCCCATGCAAAATGGCAACCGAAGAAGGTTGACAACTCCATGACCAGCGACTGCTCTTGAGGCCTGCCCCCCAAATGGAATCCGCCATAACCCAGTTAACGATTGGGTGGTGGTGGTGCGGTGGCAACTGCCCACTGCAAACTGTCCACTGGTGGTAAGCGTGGTTGCGATTCCGATTGCAACACTTTGTGGCAGCTAAAACGCGTGCAGCTTTTGGACCAGATCGCCTTACATCTCTCTGCGTTTTCAGTTTCGTTTCATTTTCATTTTCAGTTTCGGTTTCGATTTCGTTTTGGCATTCATGACAGCAAACCCGTTTAGTTTTCGGTTTCGTTTCGTTTGCTGCCGGCCAATTGCCGTGGGACGAGTTTCGAGCGGGCTTTTGCTTTTGCTTTTGAGGAGGTCCCCACTTCAGGATGGGGCGGCTACTCTTTTTTGCGGAATTTCGCGAACGTCCTTAAAGGTCACCCGAGTTGTAGGGCAACTTCTTGCCACTTGTTGCATGCCCTGACGCCTTATTGGCTTTCGGCCGGTTATCGTGGCCACAATCGATGGCCAGTTGGCCAAGATGAGGCGGCCAAGCTGCCACTGCGGCCGCCGTCTTAACGGAATTTAAAGGTTAACTGGTACAGTATCGCTTAACCGTATTTTTCGCACGATTGCCCCACTCAGGCGCTCAAGTTCAAATCGCCCGCGATAGATCGACTATCTGCTATCTGCTCCGCAAAGGTGAATAAACCTGGCCGAAAGTGAAAACTCATTGGGATGCCGGGCGTGAGCTCGGCGATTGACGGCGTTTGAATGCTGGCCAGAATCGGTCGAAACGCGGCTGCGGATATTGCATAAGCCGCTGACCGAAAACGGAAGGCGTAGAACGGAAGCCAAAATTGGTAACGGAATTTTAAGAGTCTAAAGAATATAATTCTTGAGGGCATATTGAACAGTAAAATACTCTTTAAAATATAAAGTGTGTAGTTTACAATTCGGACTTGATATGCGGCATCTCAATTTGATATGGTCTAAATCTAAAAAATTTCAAATATTTCTCCCTCCCACTCATGTACCTTTGAGCGCTATTTCTCTCGCTCTATTTCGAACTGAGAGAGTTTTTTCTTCTCGAACTCCGAGAGAGAGATTTTCGAATTTACCAACATTTCATGGTAAAAACGATACGCATATTTATTTTACCATGCGCATATCGGTTTGATCCCGGAATGTTTTTTTTTCTGTGGCGTAATAATTTGATTCTCATTTTGTATGACAGCAGTCATGAACTTGCATTGGCTTTGTGATTAATTGAATTTGGAATGACAAATGTAATATCTAGTTTAGTTAAGAGTTCCGTTGATATGGTTATTTGTTTCCCAATGTAATTGCTCTCGAATTGCAGTCACTTATCGGCATTATGACTTAATCTGGCTCCTAAACTGAAGAGCCATTAGTAGGCTCTTGGGAGTCGGCGAGGCAAGGCAATGCAATCGATCTGACAGCTGTTTGGTTTGGAGGGGGACCAGCATTAGATGAAATTATCGAGATCTTTGGCTGAGAAAGGGGAACAGTAGCCGGGCAGATCCATTAATCAATCGGCCGCTTCGCAGGGGCCCTGACTCTGTGGCTAAATGGATGCTATCGACTTTATAGATGGCAGCGCCTGGCGCATAATAAACTCTGACGTGGGGAATGACGTGGCTCGAGTTCTGGCGAAAAGCGCGCGGGTGTTGGCATTACCGAGCTCACGATGCTACCAAAATGGCCAAGATGGCATTGCGGCCAAGGATGAGGCTGAGCAGCGACTATGGTTGCACGAACCAGCTTAGAATGCGAAGTGGCTGAGGAATTGGCCGAGGAATTGACCAGCTTAATGAGCTAAGGGCAAGAAGCCTCTGAAGCCATGCAAATCGCAGCATGAACTTGAGATGGTTTGCTCGATTGTTCAATTTTCATTGGGCTAGCCGACCTTGGGCTGCAACTTGGCTGGGTTGCAATTAGCTGGAGCATTAATCATACGCCTCGTTGGCCCGGCCGGATCATAATTATCTCTGCAAGCGGCAGCTGATCTAAATACGGCTATATTTCGAAACACACTTGACCCAAACTTTGCTAATGATATATAATTTATATTCGAGCCAAGGAAAACAAAAGTCTATCACTCATTCGGTGTTCATCTCCATTTTAAAGGATTACTCACTTAGTTGACTTAACACAAGGATTTGCTTTTCAACAGCATACTGAACGTTTTTTAACAAGACCGAAATGAATTTATTTTTTAAGTTTCAGTTTAATTAATTCAGTGAACGGAAGTGGATATTGTTGGCATAGAATCCCATTGAAATGCAAATCGAATTAAATTATCGTTAATTAATTCACTCGTTACGGAGTGAATTGAATCGTGGAATTATTATGCGATTGCATGAATCTCAGCCAAACTAAAGTGAATGCTCATCCACCGAATTATCTATCGAGATAAATATTTATTGTGCTTGACGCTAAGAATGTAATGATAAAGGGAAGATTGTTTTTATTGCACTTTTTTTTTATACGAACTTTGAGATAGATACAGTTCTCTCAATAAATTAAAATGTTTCTCAGAAATTTTAAATTCAAGACCCTAATTTCATTAATTATTTTCTATTTCATGTTAAATTATTTAAAAGTCTTAAAGTAACAGTTCTTTCATGACTTATGGCGATGAATAACGATTAAGGAATGATAAAGTAAATATTAAAAGTTATAACTGGCAAAGTTTTAACAGGTGACTGGCAAATATAAATTAAAATCAAATCATTGAAATTTAAAGGAGATATAATATTAATATTTAATTTAATATTACTATGTTCAAATTAATTTTGTATGCTTGTTTAGTACCCTTTACTTAAAAATGTTGCTGCATCTTTAAAAAGTGAGATTTTTGTGTTGCCTTATTACTGTTTTTAAAATATTTAAGCCCTCTGCCCAAACAGGGATGTAATTAAATGAATGTCTGAAAATATAAATATTTGCCAAGTAACTTTTTATGATCCTCCCAAATTGCAGTTGATGTTCACTTAACCACCATTTCCCGGGCCACCCCGATGCAATAAACAGTACTCACATAGGACAGAGTGGGCTGGGCACTGCTGATGACCAGTTCGCCTCCACTTCGCTGCTTTCCGAGGAGTGACTGATGGAGCCGGTTGGTGCCGTAGTACATCTCCCAAATGCTCGGCTTCTTGCGGTGCCACTCGGCAATGCTCTCCCGTTCCCGCTCCCGATCTGCCTTGTGCCCACCAGCTCCGTCGACCGCCATGGCTCCGCTGAATCCCTGACTGCTACTGGCCGCCGCCAGGATGGGCTTGTGGAAGGTGAGATTCCGCTGCATTTGCGTTACAACAGTGGTGGTTGCGTTGGCCATGCCCGGATGCAGGGCCTCGAGCTCCAGCTGCGGCGTGGAGGCGGGCGAGGGCGTGGCACTGCGCGACAGACTGGTGGTGGTCACCTCCGATTCCACATAGCACTCGGCGGCGGGGAAGATCTCCGCTATGGACTTGCGCTTCATCTTGAAGTTGGGATCGCTGGCACATCGAATGGTCATGATCTGTTCGCGGACGCTGAGCGGTCTGCCGCTGGCGGAGATTAGCACACCGTCGCGTACCGCTTCGTAGGCGTTCAGCTGGAGATCGGCGCAACTGCGTCTGCGTTCCAGGGCGTTCTGCAGGCGGACCACGTGCTGCTGGCGACCCAGGCCGCTGCACAGCTGGCGCAGCTCGAGCTCACTGTGCTGGTTCATGCGCTGCAGGTAGGACTCCAGCTCGTGCTTCAGCGTGTGGATCATGCCCTCCAGCTCCTTGGGCACATCCGAGGGCGGGGTGCTGGCGGGTGTGGGCGAGGGCGTGGCACGCGACAGGAGGCGGATCTTATCACGGACATCCTCCAGCAGCTCACGGGTGTTTTGGAAATGCAGCTGATCCTCATAGCGCTTGGCATACGTCTCCTCGGCCACGCCCACTCCAGGTCCGCCCCCCGTTCCGCCCCGCTCGCTCTCCAGGCGATAGGCATCCTCGGGACAGGAGTTGATGTACTTGGCGCACTTGTAGTTGTTCTCCGCCAGCTGTTCGTCGTTCAGAAAGCTGGGATTGTCGATGCCCCGATGCCCCACGTTGGGCGCCAAAAGGAAGGCGTCTAGATCAATGTCCAGCAATGAATCATCCACCAGTTGCTCTTGCTGCTGCTGCTGCTCCATGATGGTGGGCAGCTGGTTGTAGGCCCGCAGCTTCTCTCCAATATCCAGGGCATGGCTCGGTGGTTCCGTGGCTCTTCCCCCGGCTGCCTGCATAAAGCTCACTATATGCTCCTGGGCATACAGGCAGGGAAAGGTCTTCAGGTGGCGGTCCAGATTCTCGATGCTCGTCTCCAGGATGCGCAGCTTGCTGCTGTAGTGCTGCATCCCCTCGGCCGCCTGGGCATTTGATTGGGTTTGATGATGGTCATTCGATACGGCAGCAGCTCCAGCTGCATCTTGCATGTCCGAGCGCTGACTCTTCACTGCGGACAACTTTTCAGCGGAGCTTTCGGGTGGGTCCGTCGATGGCAGTGGCACCTCCTGGGGAGCCGCCACTTTCGTTGGCAGCTGGAGCGGCGGTCGCAATCGCTGCCTGGCGGCCACACTCTTGATCTTCTCCTGGACATCGATGACCGGTTCGCAGTAGATGTGCTCGTCCAGCGAGTAAGTGGAGCACACATTGGAGCTGTAATAACCGGACGATCCGCTTTTGTCCGTCGAATAGTGTGAGCCCCCCGTCTCAGCCGCCTGTGCCTGTGTTGCTGCTGCTGCAGCAGATGTTGCTGCCGCTGCAGATGTTGCTGCTGCTGTTGTCGATGTTGCTGCTGCTGCGAGTGGCAGCCCGGAATCCGCGGAATGCGTGCTGCTGACATTGGAGGCAATCGAGCACTTCTTGCTGCGCTCCCCCACTCCGTTGGTGGTGGTGGTCACCTCCAGCTGTTGGTCGTGACCAATTGCATTCCCCATTCCATTGCCCAGTCCATTCTTCAATGGCATTGGAGCTGCTGCCGTGGATGTGGACGATGGCGAGGCTGATGTTGTCGCTGAGCTGCAATGAGAGCGGGAAAAGCGAGAGAAAGAGCCATGAAAATCGGTGAAAAACACTCGGACGAAAGGGAAACCTGACGTTGGAAAGTGGTTTTTGTTGGTTTTTCGCAATCGCCGTTTTGTTTATGCGTCGCCAACTGGGAAATGGCAAAAGTACAATGGGCATAGAACGATTTTTGGACCAAAAAATTTGCAAACTTAAAAAAGTAGCTGACATTTGAAAGAAAACTGTTTGCGTCATTTCTCTTTGAAATCCTTCAAATGAAATGTTTCTTCGTTTAAGCTAAATCAACTTATTTTAAACACATGCCATCTTAATTTTGTCGATTTTTGTATTTTTTTTGTAACAAAAACTTTTTAGTGACTTATTTCCATTCCACGGTGTAAGCGCTTAAAAACTTTACAGCCGAAGGCGAAAACTGGTTAACTGGGTTAGTCGCTTTGTTTACGTTTTTCATTTTTTCTCGGCCAACTGAGATGCAAATATCGAAAGTGTACTGGACTGGGATTCCCCGCAGAATGTCTCCCGGATGTCCAAAAAATACTTATTCTGTGCAATCACATTTAGTTCTTACTACACATATAACCAAACATTTGAAAGCGTGTTTTATAAATTCAGCATCAACATACAAATTCGATTTCAATTCAAATAAACTCGTTCTAAACAGGATTTCGGCTTCAGTTACTGTTGCAATTCGGTTAGCTTTCGGTTTGTTTGATTTTTGTCTGTTTTTCGGCTTTATTTTGCTGCCTAACTGTAAAGTTAGGCATGCAAGTGAAGTCTACTGCTTTGAGTCACTTTTGGCTGAATTTATCGTTTTCGTTTTTCTCTGCCAGCATGTGTGTGTCTAAGTTTGGGCCAACTTTTTGGTGAACCATGAAATTCGCCGGTGCCTGATGACTTGGGCAAAGGATGGTGAGAGGTGGCTGGCTAAGTGCAGCGAAATGAAATGGAAACTTAATTGAATGGAACGGAAGCTTCCCACTGCGGAGGGCACTTCACCGAACTCTTCACAGATGGCTACCGAAATTTATGGGGGACTGGCTATTTTCCATCTTTTGCGGATATCTTAGAGTTCCATTGTAGCAGAGTCAAAAAAAATTGAATTTCTCCAACTTAAAGTAGTCTAATCTCTTATTTGAACTCTTTCTTTTAAGTTAGATTAGATTTTAGACCCTCTCAGGCTGTTTGCCAATAATATAATCTTTATAAAAATATAGAGTTATCTGTAAACCTTTAAATCTTCATGGTCGATCCACATTAGTAGCTTGACTCACTTATTAATCACAGCCTCAGATCCTTATCTCTTGTGGATTTTCGAATTAATTAATATTGAGTTATCTTTTCACTTTCAATTCACTATCATCAATCAATTGAGCAATTTCCACTAATCCTACATTTTTAAATATTTTGAAATATGTTAAACATTTAAACCATTGCCATTCGAATATATGGTCAATATTTATTTTACCAAATCTAAATCTGGTCCCGAGGGATTTTTTTTCTTAAAAGCCCCACTGATTGATTGCTCCTTCGCTCAAGTATTATTATTCGAAATTCTAATCGCACGGCATTTGCATTTTCTCTGGGGCAGATTTGCATTTTTGACCGCTTGGCGCCAGTGGCATTGCTTTAATAACTCACTTACGATCGGTAACAAGTCCCAGATTCGGTTCTCTATGCACTCGGCGTTTGGCACTAGGTCAGCGCTGGCTTTTGGCCAAACGGAATGAGTGCTGAAAGTTGCGTAATAACGGTTGTTGCTACCAGATATTGTTGCTGCAGCTTTTCGGCCTGTTCTTGTATGGTAAGTCGGTGCGTTACGCACCCAAAAATTTATAAGTTTCGGTCAGTGGCGACGTCGACTGGCGAGTGTTACTATGTATATTTTTTTGGATTTTGGTGGCGCGGCTACCGATGCGTAGTGGCAACAGGCCATAGATATCGCACCAACAGAAGCGGCAAGGTTACCTTTTGGCTCATGAAATATTTTGCAATCTTGGGCCACAGGTATATATGTTTATTTTGTTTGTTCGAACTGTGTTAATTAAAATGTTCAGCCTCGTTTGCATGCACGGAACACTGGTGGACCGGCGGACAAGCGAATTTGGCGGACAAGCGACCTAGCGGACATGCGGACATACGGACAAGTATTATAGACCGTTAGCAAACACTATCGTGTGGCCGCTAATTGTTGTTGACTGCTTGCCAAGACAAATTACAGGCGACTGGAAATTCGGCATCTAAGTCGCGATCTGGCCGTCTATCAATTGCAAATCAATCAATGGGCCAGCGCGTTTTTATTGCAGCGATTATATCGCCGATTTCGCACATGCTTAACGCTCAAGATGGATGTGGTCGGTTGGATTGGCTAAACGCCTAAGCGACCTTGGCATAAGCCAGAGATATAACGATGGCCTAGGCGGTCTCAAAAATTGAATACAAATTAGCGACGAGTATCAACAATTGATCGCCTAGCCGTCTAACTGCATTGATGGGGGCTAATGGGACAATGGAATCGCACTTGGCCAAGGTCGCGATGGAAGAGCTACTGTGCGAAATCCACTCCCCACCGGGTTTTATCATAGTTAGCATGCGTGAGAAGTTAACGCAAAATAAGTATAGTACCAACGCCGATTGAATCGCAAATCGATTTGGGTTCGCTAAAGGGCGGGCACTATATATACGCATGAGTGTGATATGACCTTGACGGGAAACTCACTCGCTCTTTCCTTGATCCGCTGCGAATCGTTTTGCTATTTTGACAGCATAGCCGCCGATTATCTTATCATGGCTATCGTGGCAGTGCCTGATTTCCATATTCTGCCCCATGCAATGACCAAAATAGCTGAAACAAGTTGGAAACCGAAACTATCTGCCAATTAATTGAAATTGCTGTCAATACACGGCACGACTTAATGCATATGCATACTCATATATATCTGTGCTCAAGTATTTATTTTGTATTTTTGATAAATATTTCAAACCAAAACGGGCTCTCAGCTCGTGACCTTCGGCGACTCGAAGATCATGTGGTGCTGGTGGCTTCTTTAATTTCAATTAATAAACGTAATTGTTGCAGCTGTCTGCAGTTGCTGCTGCTGCTGCTGCTTTTGCGGCGATGACCGCCGTCAAGTGTTTGCCAAGCTTCTCTAAAAACAACAAGATATATGCACTTATGTATGTGCATTGTACATATACGAGTATATGAGGAGAAAAAGAGGTGAAGGCTGACAACAGGCGCCAAAAACCGCATTGCTCGATGCAGCAGCCACGGCAGCAGCAACTTGAACTTCGCTGCCACTGCAGACATGATTTACATAGTCGCTGTGGCAGCAACAGGTTGCCTCTGCCCCTGCCCCCGCCCCTGCCCATCGACTCTGGGCATCCGATCTCAGAACCATCTCTGGCAATCATAATCCCCATTTGGGGCAACACTCCGCCGCTGATTGCTATCCGGCTTAATGCCGCGCTAATTGGCTCGCAACAACATAATTACAAAATATCGCTGGCTGCTGCTCAAGTGGCTGGAACCGTGAAGTGTTGCGTCCGTAATTGCATTAACAACAAATAGGGTTTCCGATCTGCGACGGTCGTGCCTTTTCTGGGGTTTTCTCTCTCCGTTCCGAGCCCCCCACCCCTTAAGTCAAGGTCGCTATGGAAGCGCTGAAGGTCGCTGCACGGCGATGGGTATCCATACCTGAACCTTTAATTTGGTGCACATTTTAAGGCCTTATACTTTGACTTTGGGTATTGGAGCTCTGCTAATAAATATTATATAATTTACTAAAGATTTCTAGGAGGCTGGATTTAAAAAGATTCTTAATGCGATATCGGGGTTAACAAATTCCACTTTCTGTGAGAATCCAAGTCAATTATTGTTTATTTAATAAGCAAAGAATTGAAAAATTAAATCAGGTGTTAGAAAAGTCAAAAACATTTGACTACCTCTTCATTTTAAAATTACTGCAAAAGAAGTAAACGAAAAATATATTTTAGAATATAAATTTTTCTTTCAGTTAATGGAAAAAATGTTTTAAAACAAGTTGAAGAAAAACAAAATAAAGAGTACCAAACATGTTCTTGTATTAAAAGGAGAAATTAAGTGAGTACTAAATATTAGTAGATAATTCTGACAAAGGACTAATATTGTGTATATAATCATAATCTTGGTACTCAAAATAAGAATCTAGTCATTTTTTATATTTTTCTGTGCATTACCTTTGATACTTAAGCATGGCTCGTGGAAGAAGAAAATTTTCGCTGCTGCTTTTCGTAGACGATTTGGTTGGATTTGGACCTCCTCCACTTGGAGCCGCTCCGCTTGCGGCTTCTTCTGCTGGCAAACCCACTCCAGCTCCTCCGTTTCGAGCAAAAAAGGCTCCCAGGCGTTGCAGATAGGCGAACTTATTAGCCCCACCAGGATCTTTGGCCGCGGAGTAGCTCCTGGTGCTGCTGCTCCGACTGCTGCTGCTCCCGTTTCCGCTTTGGCTCCTGCTCCTGCTCTGACTCGTATTCGTATCCCCCGTCTCGTCGTCCTCCTCCTCGTAGGGCAGCACCTCGATTGCATCGAAGTCGTAGGAGTTGAAGTAGGCTTGCTCCCGGGTCCGCTTCACCTGGGCCGCCTCTGTCACGTGATCGGCGGATATATCCGTGGCTGTTTTCTTGCTCGCCGTGCCCGGCGAACTTTTGCAAATGGGCATAGTAGTCTGTAGGTAGGAATAATTTAATTAAATAGAGATTTTTAGATAAATCAAACAATAAAACAGTAAACGGTAAGAATGTCTGATTAATAAGGGTTATTTTCTCAAGAAATTAGGAAATGTTAATGTTTGAATGAGTTTCAAAATGTATAACATTTTTTAATTCGTTTGTTTTTTTTGTCTATCTAGTATTAGAAAAAACTTGGTTTTAATAAGGTTTTAATTATTTAGAATTTCATAATATTTGCACCCAAAACCGATTAAACGACGATCAATTTAATATTATGTGGTATCAATTTTGACTTGATATGCGACATATCAATTCGATATGCTCGAAATGTAAGCGGCGTGTTCTAAGGAGATTTCAAATGTGTCATTCTCCCTATTACGATCTTTTTCGAATTGAGAGAATTAGTTCTTCAAGCCCCCCTTCACGTAATTAAATACTCTTTCTGGGAATTGCCTGTTAAAAACGATATGAGTATAACTACACCCAAAAAAAAATGATCATAGAAAGTAAACTATTTCTACATTAAAAGTAAACTATTGAGTGTCAAAAATTTCTCGATACTCTGAGTATTAAACTAATGGACTTCGAAAGTATAAAAATGAAACTTTCGAAGTTGTCAAGTTTAAACTAACGAGTATACAGTTTATACTCACTCAGTGTACTGAAATTTAGGCTGCTAGTTTATTTTGTATACTATTTAGTATAATGCCAGTATAAATATTATACCCCGTATTAAAGAGACAAAATTCAAAAAAAGTTATTATGTACTTTTCATATATTATTACAAATATTTTTTACATTTTTATAAATTACTGAAGGTAATTTTAAATTTAACAAATAAACATAAATACAATACATGTACAAAATATGTACGTATGTATGCATATTTGGGCAAATGCAGCCGTTTTACCGCTTATGTCGCTGATCATCTCCAGAGTGAACGCCGTCCAGATGAATACCGAAGCTTGGTCGAGGACGCTGATATTGAAGTTAACATTGCGCTGGCCGCGGTCAGAAAAAATGCAAGCCAATTGCAAGATCCTTAGTTTCCCGGCATCTGGAGCGCAATTCAAGGTGGTGTCAGTAAAAAGAAAAGAATTTACTCATTAGTTGTGCACTAAGGCGCAATTTTAATGTACTTACATTTCAAATAAGCCCAAAATAAGCAAATATTAAAATTTTCACAAGTAATTTTCACAAACAAACCTTAAACAGACCGCAGCGTCGTTTACAAAATACACTAATGTAAAACCCTTAAAATACTAACGCGTCCGAATAGCATTAAAAAGCGGTAACACTTTTTCTGTTCGAAATGTCCAGGTTCCAAACCAGAGCATCCTGGCCTCACACCAGGAACGAAAATAGAAACTTCGGTATAGAAATTAAACTCAGGGCATAAACTTAACACTATTTAGTCTTAACCTAACACTATTGAGTCTGCTCCCTACATTATTTAGTTTTGAATTAATACTGACAGTTTGATACTAGCTGTAGTATACTTTTAATACAACGCTCATTAAATGTAAACTTTCGGATTTTTTTTTGGGTGTACAGAAATTGTCCACGCGCATATCCATATGATCCCGCCGTTTTATTATTGTGCGGCCTAGAAGGTTGTATAATTTTGTGTTACTTCGGAATAGATTTAATAAAAACCGTACGAATAAGTTAACGCTAAGGTGGCGTTTTTAAATGTGTGCGTGTTTGTTTTAGAGAGCTTTATTTTCGTTCACAACAAAAGCAGGAGCTTGCACAACTTAACGCTCTGGCGTTTACGGCTCTCCACCAGCGGCGCCTCCAATGCATCCGCTTTGGCCAACTGGAGCTGCAACTGGAAGTGGAACTGGTTTGGCGCTCGCAAAGAATCCACTTCGTGGCCACGATGCAGTGGCAGTCTGTCGGGGTGATGTTGATGCAAGCGTTTTTGCCTCGCTCATGACTTTGCATTAATTAGCCAAAAAGGGTTTTGCGCAATTGCATAATTTTTCTGCAACGCGTGTTCACTCCCCCCTCTTGGTCATAATTTATGGTAACGTGGCTAAATGCCAACAGATAGCACACCCCCAAAACTGATGATGCACCCAAATGCATTTACCTGAAAGCAGTGTCTGGCTGAGATGGGCAGTTATGTGTGTGATCGATAGATAAGTGCAGCATGCTGACAGCTTCATCATCGCCGCCAAAGCAGCCAAAAGTGGCCGGTTGGCTCATCGTCGGCGAATAGGTTCCGCGTTATCGACAAAGAGCTGACGAGGCTGCGGTTTCAGTTTCAGTTGCCGGTGTGGCAATCAGCCATTTTTATGCCACACAGATTGCAGACCTCGCAGAAAGCATTAAATGATACGGCCCACCCGCCAATAGTGCAAATTATTGCCTACCTCTGCAAGCTGCCCAATTGACGATAATTCCGGGTGGGTGTAAAACCAAGTGCCACTTAAGCTTATGGCCTATTTCCCTAATTTCTGGTATGCACTCCCCGAAAATTACACATAACAGATGAGAAAAGGCAATGAGTTGTATTAAATACCTAACAAAAATATCTAAATATATACAAAAATAAATTACCTATTTTTATGTGAACATTTGTAGGATGTTATAAGGAAATTATTGTAGTTCTCTCTAAATATGTTTATACCCTTGTAGAGGGTATTATAATTTCAGTCAGATGTTTGCAACGCAGTGAAGGAGACGTTTCCGACCACATAAAGTATGTATATTCTTGATCAGCACCAATAGCCGAGTCTATCTAGCCATGTCCGTCTGTCCGTCTGTCCGTTTCTATGTGAACTAGTCTCTCAGTTTTAAAGCTATCGCGATGAAACTTTCCCGAAAGTCTTCTTTCTATTGCATGTAGTACATATGTCGGAGCGAGCCGGATCGGACCACTATATCTTAAGGCTCTAAAGGAATATTCAAACAAATATAAGAAAATTTATTGTAACTTTGTAGGAAGTAGGCGTTTTGATTCTTGACTACTTAAAAACAAAATTAAAAAAATAAATTGAAACGCTGAATCTGGAATCCCTGGAACTGCACCGAGTAAGCATTCTTTAATCTACAAGGGTATATAAGCTTCGGCTGGCCGAAGGTAGCTTCTCTTCTTGTTTACTTTTTTTTGTATTTAATAACATAATTTCTTCGAAAAACTGTAATCACTATTATTTAGAGTGGCACAGTTACAGGGAAAACAATTACAAGTCCATCGAATCTGATGGGTTTTCTCGACAACTTTGCGGTTGACTTGGCCGCCATCACTTCAAGGGGCTGATGAGGCGCCTCAATTGACGGATCTCTGTGCCAACAGCTGCCATAATCGCAGCGATAATAATGGTGGTGGATTAATCGCCGATCGCGTTACCATATGCCATACCGTTGATGTTGCTGATGACATGCCACATGCACAGGCCACATGCACATGTGTGCCATGGTCAAGACGCAGTGACAAACGTACGAGCACTGTTCTGCTGGTTAAGTGACAACTCAAAGTTACTTTGTCGTCTTCCAAAGCGCTGACAGCGAATAAAAATCTCGGATGGAAAAACATACTCGAACATAAATAACAGTTGGCAACTTCAAACGCTCAGCTGATTTCCGTTGCCTCCACTAATCATGGCATGTGTGCCACATCTTGGCGATAAACCCATCAAACTGGAGCAGCCCATCAAATTGGAGGAGTCTTTAGCCAGCCATTCACTTGATGTTGACTTAGTCGCAGCTAGTAAAATGCAAATGTTGCACAACCTTTGGGCATAGAACAGACATTCACCTCTTTGAGATGCTGGTCGGGAGTACAATCGGTTTTTGACGGGGTCTTCTTCTATTTGCCGGCCAAACAATCCAAGTGGCTGAAGTGACCGCCACTTGAGTTATGGAAATGCGAATAAAAATACTGGGCACGGAGACGTGAGGGTTTTATTTATAGTTTGCTCTTCAATCAGAATGCCTGCGGTGGCTTTTGATATTTTAATGAGTCAATTGCCCCGGCACGTCAATGTGCCAGTCTAAAAACGGATTGGCATCGGAATCGGAATTGGAATTGGAATCAGATTCGGCGACTAAATTTGAATGCGTTGCCAAGCGATGCCTCCGCCTTGACTTATTTGCCATGAATTCATCATCGCAAACGGCTAAACAAAAGACTTAAGCGACAAACCACGATTGCCCAAGAAGAGCCAGGCCAATCCAATCCGAAAAGAAATCTCCGCAAATGTTGCCGATGAAAAAACCGCAACACAAAATCTGCATTGTTTTCCAGCCGCATTGCAAAATTGAGTTTTTGTTGTTAATTTACACTGCCCTACAGGGCACAACATCGCAACAGCAACACGATGGCAGCAACTAGCAACTCGCAACATCAGCGGGCAACACCTCCATTTTGCATGCGGCAACATCAAACTGCATTTGGCCAAACTAAAAACAGATGACATGGCTTAAACGTGTTGCCTAAAATGCTTATCGAGTTTATTTGCAGCCTGAAGACGCAACAACTGGATTTCCCCTTTTAATTCCATTAAAATTAAACAGTTTCTTCTATAAATGGAAAATAAATAAACAAGTCAAAAGTTTTACAAGAATTAAAAGTGCCTTCTTTCATTGGATAAACAAACAATACATACTTTTAACCCGGAAGGTATTTTATTTATATTTCAAATTATACCCCTAAGATAATATTCAAAGTGACAAATTTGTTTTTAAGGAGTTCTCCTTTTAGTTAAGAATAAATATACTCTGATGTTAAAAAATAAATTAAGCTTTAAAATTAAATATATAAAATATAAAAAATGTTTATTTCTACACAAAAGGGGCAACATTAAGCAAGATATTTGGTTTTTTAAAGATGTTTTAAAACTTTAGTTAATTATAAAAGCTATTGAAATCCGAAGGCTTATATGTTGTGTTAACAAGATTTGTAGTCAAACTAAATTTTAAAAGTTTTTTCAGGGCCTTTGACTTAAATTAATGTTTGCTAAATTTAAAACCGACTCTTAAATGAGCT